ATAAATTAACTGATTTAAAATATGGTTTCTTTGCTACACAGTAATAACCATGTTTCAAAACCTGAAGCTAAAAACTTCAAATTTAATTATCTAATTAAGTCTAAAGCATTAGTTCTGTTTCATCTTCAAGCGAATTTTGGAATAACTTATTTTTTAATTTACTGAGTTTTAAAACATATAAATTCATAATTTCCTGTTTCCAAGGATACAGAGAAATCCAATCATTCAGACAGGGGTGGTAGAGTATTCATTTTTATTAACTATTGTTGTATCAATTATGAGCTACATTAAAAAAAGAGGTTAAGTTTAGGGAGGGTAGGGCGATTTTTTTCAATGAATTCTGATATCCGTTAAACAAGTCTGTTTTTTTTGTTTTTTTAATGGCAAAAAGTTTTTCGGCATTTTTTTTTTGTACTTGTATACTTAAGGATTCTTTTTAAACGGGGTGTTTAGGTTAGAATACGTTTTATTTAACTACAATTTAAAAGGTTTTTTACTTTTAATTACTAATAGACTATATTTTTTTTTTAAATCAAGTAAATGTAATAGAATTACTTAAATTATTTAAAATTATTTTTTCATATCAAATATAAGTATGTATATTACCAGCTCCCATTTTTTTAATTTTATTTTTAAATATTATTTAAGGAAAATTTTTGACAATGATGGCAAAGAATAGCTATTTCATTTCTTTGATTCAGTAAATTTTTATTTTTTATAAACTTAGTAATATATAGTTTCTCATGTATGCATATATATATATATATATATATAAATGAAATTAGGATTTGATTTAATGCTACACCTATTCATTAACAGAAGAAAAAAAAACTTATCAAGATATATAGACTACAGTTCCAAAGTTTCAGGCCATCCCTTTTAAATTGGCCCCAAAAGTCATTGTTTTGTACTTTAAATAAGAGAAAATCAAAAAGTGAGGCATGATATTTTATTAGAAATTTTATTATGAGAAAAAAGAAAAAAAGCATTCTATGATTAAATTTGGCTCTCATCAAAATAGCCTCCTTTAACCTTGATTACTACAACAAACTTTTGGCATTCACTGCAAAACTTTCTCAAAGTATAAGTTTTGATAATTGATTCCATTCTTATTTCAATGACCGAGTTCTTTTTCATTTTTAGGATAGAAAGGTTTTACTCTTCTGTCAAATTTTGAAGGTGGCTTTAAACTTTTAAACTGTAGTGTATATAAATTCATTTTTCTAACATTCTCAAAAAATGGAGCATTTGGTTAAATATTTTTTAACAGCAACAAAGCTGTTAAGGTATACTCTTAAATGTCATTTTTTTTTTTTTTTTGTAAATGAAGATCATACAACCTCAAAATATAACTTAACGAAAGAGAGCCATAAAATAAAAGTTTACCTCTTCTTTAAAAGATTTCTCTTGGGTTTCTTCAAGAGTTGAACTACAAGAGGAAAAAAAAATGACCAATTATCTGCATTGTTACATAAGTAGAGAATTTTCTGTTTGTTTAATGAGGGACCGAGGAAACTTGTTTTATATTTTGATATTCATGCAATTTGAAATATGAATACAAATTAACAAACACAAAATAATTCACATAGAAATCAAACATATTTGGTAGTCAAAAATTAAAAAAAAAATTACTTAAATATCACACAACATCCAATGAGCTGGTATTATAGACAAGAAGCCAAACACTGAAATTTCAAGTTATGCAATAAACAAGTTTTAAAAAAAGAGGGTATTATATATAGAATATGTATCATACACTATGAGATTGTTGAAGATATACATAAACAGGTTATATTTTGTTTCAACAAAAAAATATAAATTTATATATTAGTTTAAAATTAGAATATAATAATAATATAAAATATATAAATATAAGAGGATGGTGCTCAGTATGATGGAAAGAAATAAATATTGCAAAATACTTCACTATCTGTCTATATTTCTGAGATGAGGTATTATGTACACCATTTACATATTATTCGACTATTTCCTTTGTTTCTTTCGATATATAAAACAAAATAAAGGGGGAATAAAAAACCGTTATTATTTCATGTTTTCATCAGGTTTTTGGAATGAAATGAACATAAAGATTTATTTTGCTCACTGGGCAATTTATTTAAATCCATGTTTAAGGATGTCAGTTATTTTACAGTTATTTTTTGTGTAAAAGTTCTCCAAAGAAAACGGGTTTTGAACAAAACTTGGGATTTGTTAATGGATTTTCAACCAACGCCTTCATCCTCTGTTATAAAGGTTTTTGGTTATTAAATGACAGGACCCAAAGAGTATTGAGTAAATACAGATGGTTAAGGTTTGGAGAACTTAGAGGGAATTAATATGGAGATAACTTTTTGACATCCATGTTTTTTGAACTAGAACAGTTTACCCCAGAAGCTAAATAAAGGATTCAGTAATGGACATTCAAACAAAATGAAGAAGGCTAAATTGTGGATAAACAAAACGAGAAACATAATAAATATGCCGACAAAGATGAGGACTATAGTCCAAATAATGTAAATATTGCCTAGTACTTGTTGCTTCATGCTTTACACAATCCACAGACTGCATTACACCCACTTTACATAGAGTCTCTTTCTCTCTCTCTCTCTAGTGTGTAAAGTGACTCGTTACATCTTCTCAGGCTTATGTTCTCAGCTGACATTAATGGAAAAATTAAATTGAATCCATTGCACGGCCAGCTGCTAAGAAAGTTGGTTCACTGTGTTCAAACAATTTTTCTCTACAGAATCTATCTGTAATTCTACCATTCATCCATGCTTAGAATATTGCTGCTATATATAGTCTGATTCCCCTGCTATTTACCCGGAGCTCCTTGATAAGATCCAAAGAAGAATCAGCAATATTATTGGTCCTGATTTGGCCGCTCAACCTCAGTCATTTTACCTCCACCATGAAGTTGCCTCTCTGTGTCTTTTTTATAAATACTTTCATGGTAATTGTTCAGATGTGCTATACGCTATGGTAACGACACTTTTTAAATTTAAGCGCAGTACTAGACTGGTGTTGGGATCTCATCAGTTTACAGTTAAGCTGGCTAAGTGTAACCATAAATTCTATGCTAACAGTTTCTTTTCTCTCACTTCTCATTTGTGGGACTCCCTTCTGGCTCCAATGCTTATCAGCCAACTTTAATCAGCAAAAATTTAAATGCAATATCAATATCAACACCTATATGGGTTATTTAATGCCAAAATCTAAACATGAAAATTCAAACTTTAATTCAATAGAATGACATTATTTTATGATTAAGCTGCATTTAAAAAAAAAAAAAAAAAAAAAACAATTTTACAAAAATCAAGCAAGGAGGGAAACTTCTTTCTCTTTACAAGAGATTAATCATCGCAAACTGATTTTGTTTTTTTGTTATTTTGACAATATATACCATGAATTCAATTTCACCACAAAAAATGTCTTCTCAATCATTTAACAAAAAAAATACATTTTTATACTTTCTTCATCTTTTGGGCAGTTCATGATTTGCCCATAGCTAGGATCATAACAGGTGCTACTAACCTGGGTAAGGGTGAACCATGGGACAGCAACAATAAAGTTGTGGTTCCATCACAGCTGACAAAGCAATTGAAGACTTGTAAGCACTCCTTCAATGACGAAGAGTTCTTTATTAACTGTGTTATATGAATGTCTCAATTTTAAGCCTTTTTATCAAAAATTCCTGAGCTTTAATGTACTGAACCATAAACACTTACATTCTTTTATATATTATCTGAACATCGTTCAGAGTATACTAAAAGCTCCAGATATTTCTATAATATAAACATCCGCTCAAATGTGGCAGACATTGCAATTTTTCAGCAGCTAATTGCTAGTGTTTAAATTTGTCTCAACTGCTAAGAAATATCTGCCCGTACCCTCACGTGCGTACCACCAAGCTTGTCATGTCCAGGAAGGCATCTAGACATGAGTGTGTTCCACAAGTAGCAGTTTTGGGTACTGCCTGAGTAAAACTACCTCCTTACAATTTGAATTGCAAGTGCAGGTGATTGTACTCTGTGGATGCAGTGTGGCAGCTATGTATTGGTGCAACTAAAGAATAAAGCTTACCATGGAAATAATTGATGACAGAATAGGGACAGGCTTGTGAGGTTTGTGTTTTGGGTATTTGAAGCAGCCACCCATAAAGCTGCATAAATGCTAAAAAGTAAAGATTAGGCAGCAATGCAGCATCATAATATCATAGAAAACTTTGAAAATTTTATGAAAATACCTACTGTCCACAGCAAATACACATCTGTATTCAGATGAAAACTGATGTTGCAATTTGGTTGTTTGAAGTAGACTAGAATTCATATAAAAATAAGCCGAAAACAGCAATGAAGCAACTTACCCATCAGGAGGTTCCCAATTGTGCATTATCGTAAAATCACGGTTATCTCGTAATTCTTTTTCAGATTCTGTCCGATCTAGAAAAATAAAAATTCATAATTTTTAACTCTACCATTATTTACTTTTCATCTTTATCAAATAAAAAAAAAAAATTAAAAAGATTTGGCAAAAAATAATAAACTTGCCAGATACAGTATTTCACAAAAGTTCTTATTAAATTCTGATATATATGTGTGTGTGTATATATATATATATATATATATATATATATATATACACACACACAAACACTGAGTGTAACAGCAAAATTGTCCAATTGTTAGATTAATATTTGAACTGTTATATCTGAGATATATATATATATATATACACACACATATATATATATATATATATATATATATATATATATATATATATATATATATATATCTCAAGCGTGTGTGTGTGTGTATATATATATATTTTATTTAAACAAACATACATACTATCTCACACCTCTAGTACGGTTGAGTTTCATGCACGACAATCTTTTTGTGCTTTTTATGGTTTGAATCAAAATACATCTGGCTATCACAATGCTGATGTGATGATACTTAATATTACAGATTTTTTTAATATTGAACCTCAAAAATAATAAAGTTAACAAAAATAAGTGTGAGAAAAGAAAGGAGAGAAAAAAATTATAATTATGAAAATTAAATTTGAAACTTATTTTTTAAAATGAACAAAAAAAAAATGAACAAAAAAGTTTAAAATGAACAAAAAATAAAATAAAAAAAATAAAATGAACAAAAATAAAATGAAAAAAAAATAAAATGAACAAAAAATAAAATGAAGGATAAAAAAAATAATGGTCGGAGGTGGGTAATTATAATGACCAGGAAACAACAGTAAAAAAGAAAAAAAAATGATATATAATATACTGGAAAAACAGAAAAAAGGTGCAAAGAATTAATAAAAAGGTTTTAAGAGCTAATCTGATGTAGTATATTTAAGGAAATGTTCATTTTTGTGTCTGCAAATTAACTCACTCCTCTGATTCAATAATTTAGTGTCATCTAAGTTTGTTTTTTTTTAGAATAACTAGTTTTTCAGCTGAACAAAGACAGCAGTTGTCACCTTTGCCATTAAAAGCCTTAGCCCTAGAAACATTATGTCTATATTGCTGTAATTAGAAATAGCTTTTTCAAGTATTTTTTTTTTAAATAAAATTTTTTTTTTTTTTTTTTTTAAAAATCACAAATGATTTTATCTTGCATTCTGCTTAATAAATAATAAAATTATAAATTTAAATCTTTGTTTCTCTTTCTAAGCTTTTAAAATCTTGACTGGGTAAATCTTGATGCAATATGAGAAATTTTGCTTTTGGGGAAGTGTTCAGCTAAATTTTTCATTTTTTTTTTTTTTTGCAATGCATATTCAAACACGCATAAAAATTGAAATAAAAAGAGTTGTTGAAACTTGGGGAATGAATTCCCCAAATAATATCTAAGGTTTCCCCAATGTTTTGTAACCTATGGACTTCATCAGCTTTGGTAGAAGGAGTCAGTATTAGATCATTATGGTGAAATTACCATCAATCAAGAATTTTTGAGATAAAACATTAAGAGGTCTAGAATTTGTAAATTTGAGAGATAGTTAATGAAACTTGATGAGATTTATTCCCCAAATACTCTAGTTTACAAATGTAGTGCCACCTTTTGCTACTTTTGGAGGAGGCTTAAGATGATATTTCTCATTTTTTCCATGTAGTTGCCCACCTAAAAATTTTCATTTTTTTCACCGGAAAATTACTGACATTTACTTTTTGGTAACTCTCTAAACAATTCTCAATTCCTTAGCTAAAAACCTATAAGGGTCTCAAATTTCATTAATTTCTGGCCAGTGGATCAGAATATATAAGGGTTTTTATGAGATTCTTGAGTTAAAAAAATGGAAATGTCTGTCAACAGGAAATGCTGATTCAGCAAAATTTCAAATGATAATATCACGAGAACAGTTAGGAATTTTCTGTTATAAAATTTTTAGGATTTCCTAATGACTATAAGTATAATATGTACAACATATGCCAAAATGGTCAAATTGACCTGGAATGACCCCATTGGTATTCCAACTATTATAGGCTATTTGTAATTAAATTATTCATAGTCTTACTGAGATTCCCATGCATGTATTTTTTTGCACAGACCATATAATTATAGACATGGACTATATAAAAGATGAGTTTGGTATTTTATATGTGTTTATTGAATTTAGTTGAAATGCAGACCTAAAAAATGACTATTTTACAATTTTTAGTTTACTATTAAGTCACTATTGTCATTATTTACATTGCAGTCATTTTTGGAGCCAACCAGTCACAAGAAACATGACTGTTTATACTTGTATTATTTACATTATTCAAACTGTCATCCTTATCTTCATTGGCATATTCACAACGTTTCAGCCATTGTATGCTCCGGCTTTCTTCAGGTGATTGGAATTTCAAACCAAACCCTTTATTTCATCCATCGGGGTAGATTATTCTGGTTCCACGTATCATGCCTCTTCCAGATATATCAGTTATTTCCCTTTAGCTCACCACTGCTGTGGCCTGGTACTGAACTCACAACTCTTTGGATCTAACCAACGTCTTTATCCATTGGGCCATGTGTCCTCGAGGATACAGATCATACAAACTGGAAACGTTGTGAATATGGCAATGAAGATGAGGATAACAGTCCAAATAATGTAAATAATGCAAGTAGTCATAATACCTCATCTCAGAGATATAGACAGACAATGACTGTTTTTGTCTATGCTATGTAAAAATATCTAGAGCATTAATGTATATAAAAGAAAAAACAAAATAGATTTAAAGGAATAAGTTTTCAATCAGGAAATAAAGAAGAATTTGAAGAAAACTAAAAGCAGACAAATATTTTTATCCTGTCAGGACATTAAAAAAATTTTTTTCTTAAAATGAGTGGTTACAAATGTTGTTTCAAGGGAAAGATATTTGTGCATAAAAAAATAAAAAAAAAAGGACAGAACACCTTTCTCCATGAGGAACATTTTTTCTTTTTTATATGTAAATAAATGAACAGCAAATTCTGCCTGTCCGTCCATGTATCTGAAAGGCCATTAAGTTGGGTCACATTTGCCCTAAAAAAAAAAACACATATACTTTTGGAATCAGGATGATCCAAGAATGAAAATCTGCCCTTCATTTGATACTTTAACATCCAGCATTGAGATTTGTGTCCAGATGACAAGGGCACATTTAAAAATTAAAATTTTAAAATAAGTGCAAAAAATTAATAATTTAAAAAATTTTTTTTAAAATATTAAGTTTAAAATAACACAAAAACATTGTGAATTTAAAAATTTTTCTTTTGAAATCAATTTAAAATATCTCGAAAACTTTGTGAATTGAGGAAATCAATTTTATTTCTTCAAAATGACAAGGAATCAGAGTTAAAGTGAGACGTTTCATGATGTAAGGTTTTGAAGATCCAGAGTTTGTGATTTGAAGAACTCCATTTTCAGCCTAAACTGGAATTTCAGCCCCAAAATCAGTCTTTTGGCCGGAATTGGAACTTATAGGCTGAATCCGAGTGAGGGTTTGAAGTTCCATAGAATGAAATTGAGAAATTCAAAATTATTTGTTAAAAATTATCACTGCTTTTTTTTTAAGCTGGACCAGAGGTCACTAGTTTTGGACCAGAAACCCAATTAGTCCTGCACAGGAACTAGTTTAAAAGTCCATTTTAAACGGAGTGTGGCTTTTAAGTTTTTGTGTCAATTATTTAAACCTTTCTCTGCATAGAATATGAATACATACTAAATTTAAGGGCTGTACCCAAAATATATCGTGAGCAGAAATTCTTCCCAATTATAGACTGTACTTTTTAGATTTTGTTAGGTACATGATTAGGGATTTTGACATCTCTCTCAAGTTTACATTGAATATACATAGGTACCTCCACAAGATCGCTAAAAAAAGAGCATAGCATGATGAAAGAAAGATAAACTTGACGAAAACAAAATTTTATCGTCTAAATGTTTGTTATTATTAAGAGGAAAGGTCAAAGTATTTTTGGGGGTTTTTTTTTTCCATTTTTAATCGTTCCTAGCACGTCCGAAATTTTCGTTAAAAATTTAGTTTTTTTTTTTTGAGTCAGCAAAAATTGACCATTTTTTTTCCATTTAAAAAAAAAAAACTGGAAATCTGACTTTGAAATTTTTTTAAATATCAATTATCATTTTTTCAAAACTTATTTTAAGAAAATCAGAAATTATAATGTTTATTTAAAATATTTTGAACCAAACTTAACTTAGCTTTTGTGCCAAAAAAGATGTAATTTGAAAAATAAAACAAAGCAGGTCATAAACTTTCGCGTCTCTTGACATGTGATGAATGATATATTTACGAATTCCATGAGGCTAATTTGTTCTACGGAAGGAGAAAAAGTGAAATAATTTACATTTACGTGAACAAATTATTTACCCCGTTATTTTTAAGGAAAACTTTCAGCGGTCTATTTTTTTTTTTTTTTTTTTGTACTTAGCTTTCACCTTTACGTTTATGATGCTTTATGGAAAAATATATTGAAAAGAAATTAAAATAAAACTGTTAAGAGTGACATTAAATTTCATATTTTTAAGAAAGGTATCTAATTAATTTATAGGTACCTTTCTTATGAAATTTTATCAGAATTGTACATAAAATACTATAATTTTATGTACATTTATTACATTCTACTGTTATTTGTATTTACATTCATTTTATTATTAATTTTGATATTTCATTTATGGAAAAATGTCGTAACTGAGATTAATATAAAAATAAGATCATATAAATTTCATAAGATGATACTGATACTTGTAGGTACCCTTCTCAGTTGAAATTGAAAAATCAAATTAACTTCTCCACACGTGTTTCGTAAAAAAAAGTAAAGGCCTTAACAGCGGAGAACAATGCTTAACTCAAATAACGCAACTTAATTATATTCTGGTTGGTCTTCCATATTTTATAATTACAGCTCGATTATAAGCACAAAATTACATTTCTTAATTACTGGGGATCTTCTGATTAGTCAAAATGATACAATTTACAACGCGCTAAAAAAGATCTATCTCATAAGGACACTTATGAAAGCCGATGCGGCTTTTAACTAATTTTATAATATTTTAACAATTTAAATGTAAAATCTATTATAATTAATGAAATAACAAATAATTGTATTAAAATTCATTTTTCATCGAAAATTTTTTTTTTTGCTTTCAGAAAATATTGTCCATATTCATAAAAACAACTAAAAGCAAATAAAAGCATTTGAAATTAAATAATATCTTTGTTTTATTGAGTTTTGTATGTTACAATTCAGAGCTGATTTTCAGGTACTGGGTATCCAATTAAAAAAAAAAAAAAAAACATGATTTGCATTCCTCAAAGCCCTGTGCTTTTAATTATTGTAATCACTAAAACCGATGCGATCGAATTTCTAGCGTTTTCATAAAATTAGTTATGGGGGAATAAATAAATATTAAAAAAATATTTCTACCATGACTTTCATAAAAAAACATATTTATAATAATTTCGATCATCTGTGAATAGTTTCTGAAAGTTTCATTAACATCCGATAATTATTTCTATTTTTGCACGATTTTTCAAATTAATGTGTCATACAAAAAAAAAACGTGCTAAAAATTGTCTATGTTATTTACTAGTTCGCTGATACAAATAGAAACAAGGTTTTTTTTTAATCAAAATTTAGAATGTTCTAAAAAGAAGGAAAAATTTTTAAAAAAATAAAAAAAAAAACTTTGGTCTTTCCTCTTAATAATAACATAAGCATTTAGACAATAAAATTTTGTTTTCAGCAAGGTTGGCGTCTTTTTCATCAAGCTATGCTCTTTTTTAGCGATTTCGTGGAGGTACCTAAATATACAGTTTCCAATTTTATTTATATATCCGATTCATGATAAGTGGTGAGAGGAGGGAATTATATAACAAAGTATTGGTAAAAATCAAAACAAAGTCTAAGTGACCAAAGAAAAAAAAAAAAAAAATTTTAAAAATGCAAAAACAATAAAAAAATAAAAACTTCCAAAAAAAGGAAAAACTGAGAAGAAACAACCAAAAGGTAAACTGCTACCTAAACAATAACAGAGAGTACTCAATGTGTAAATGACAAAGACAGAACAGTTAAACTATCCAACGACACCACTCAGAAAAGAGAAAGTTCAAAATGCTAATACAGTTTTGATTGTCAGGTAACCAGAACACAGACGAATGCAGGAAGAACAGAATATTTATATTGATAGAACACAGGTTAGGAAAAAAAAAAAAACTCTGTGGACTGTAATTGCTCATATACAAGAAAGAGAGACTCACCTTTGTCAGGATCAATAGCCATATTTGATAACATTACTTCGGTATTTGTATGACTGGATAAAAACAAAAAATAAAACATTTTTTTTTAAATTGTATCATATTTTATGTCGAAAATAAAATAAAAAACAAAACAGTTCAAGACAACAGTGTTCAGCAGTGTCCCACTTAAGATTAAGACTTCTTACAAACAGCATTTACCAATTTCACGCTTAGAATTGCCTTGAAGACTAATTTATTTCTTTAGCAGCAAATCAACTCATACATCATTTAACCCCAAATTTTCATTTTCTTGGGAGATTTGGAAATTTTTTTTTTTTCCTCCAAAAACGCATTGCTGGTATTTTTTTTACTATAAAAATGTTTTTTATACTTTCATAGTGACCACAATTTGGGGGTTCACTATTTGCCCATAGCTAGGACCCTAACAGTTGCTACCACCCTAGGTCAGGGTAGACCTGGGGAGAGCAGCAATTAAGAGGTAGTTCCGCACTCCTCAAAACTTCCTGACTCAAAGCTTTGCTGTTGGATGTAGTTTACCATCACACCCAGAATAATTAAAGACCGTCTTCCTCAGCATCAGTGGTGGTTGGGAAATTTCACCCAGCCAAAATATTGATCACTGATGTTCTGTCTGTTAAGGGATTCCAATAGAGACGAAAACAAAACATCCTCCAACAGGATTTTGGTTGAACAATGATTACACACACACACAAAGAAAGAAATGTACTGACATATTTGTAAATCTCCTTAAGTCTTAAAGTAAGCAAACGTAACCAATTAGAAAATTAAGTCACCATAGAGCCGAAGAGAAAGGAAGAAGTTACTATGTCTGTAGGTTTGTATGTATGTCCATTTACAAACTGATCACATGACTATGGGCAGTGGTTATTAAATGACTGATATGATTTTTCCTCTGGTTTTGATTTATAAGTGAAATTGGGCACCTCAAGGTGGTGTAATGGTTAGCAAGCTTGTCTCGTTAGAACAATTAAAACTGAGTAGTGAGTTCAATCCTCATTGGGTGCCCCCTACTTTCAGCCTTGTACCACATCTGAGCTACTCTTGGAAAATCACTATAAGTGAAATTACTCAGAAATTCATTGGTACTGAATACTTCCATTGTTTGAAAACCAGATGTCCACTTAGATCATTGCAAAAGTTTGTGTGCAATTTTTCATTCTTTTTAATTTTCTAATTAGGCACCAATTTTTGTGATAATAATTTGTTTTAAAATCTTAGGGTCTACATTTCGATGCCCCCACCTCATAAAGAAGTATGGATATTGAATAAACAGTATTTAAATAAACGCACTTCTTTGTCCTTCAATAATTTCTAGTGACAAAGTTAAAGTCCTCCAGGCCTATTCAACCCGCTAACCCACTTACAGAAAAGCAGAGATAAAGCATGTGATGTTGGAACTTAGATAAATTGTGAGGTTTTGAAACTGTCTATATTTCTGAGATAAGGTATCACCACTATTTACATTGTTCGGACTATTGTCCTCATTTTGTCATATTCATAATGTTTCAGTTATTCTAGTTCCACATGCCATGCCTTTTATGTCCCCAAGAGCACATGGGCCCAGTGGATAAAAAGCGTTGGTGGAAGTAATTCAGTGACTTGACCCAGAGAGCAGACATGAACAAAATCTTGGAGAATTGAGTTACTAAAAGGGAGATAACTGAAACTGAGATAGCCAGAAAAGGCATGGCACGTGGAACTAGAACAATCTAATCCAGTGTACGAAATAAAGGGTTTGGTTCGAAACTCCAATATATATCACCTGAAGAAGGTTGGAGCATACAACAGCTGAAACGTCATGAATATGGCCACAAAGATGAAGAAAACAGTCTAGACAATGTAAATTGTGTAAATACCGCATCTCAGAAATATAGACAGACCCTGAAGAAGGCCAGAATGTACAACGGCTGAAACATGAATATAGCAACAAAAATGAGGACACCGTTTAGCTATTCTATCTATTCCTGGCTTTATAGCAAGTACTTAATATTTAAAAAAAAAAAAAAAAAAAACTGTTTTAGTTTTTCCTTCAGGCCCCCACCACAATATCTCACATAACTTCAAGCTCCCCTGGGAGGCTTACATGCTTCAAGGGATGAAAAGTCACCTTCACCCCACCCTCGTTGGGCTTGCAAATTTTAACATTGTAAAACAATAAAAATAAACTACCAGGTTGAAAAAAAAAAAAAAAAAAAAAAAGGGTCAAAATAGATGCAGAATTTATTTTTTCAATCGGGATTCTTATCAATATTTCATGAATTAACAACCAAGATGAGGATATTTGTTTGAGTAAACAGAGGAAGTCAATATTTACACCTTTCATAAATTAAGACAAAACAAAAAAACAAAAAAAACAAAATCAGTTTCAAATATTAATTGGCTTAAAATATATTAATCATATCTTGATCTATTTGTAAATTGTAAAGAACACGAGGCAAAGCATTTAATAAATTTAAATAAAATAAAATCTTTAAAATAGATTTTTTTGTCAAAAGCAAATGCATTTTAACAATGAAATTGAAAAAAAAAAAAAAGACTTACCTGCATGTTTCTAAAATCAAATCTAACAATAACCTTTCTTCAACAGCTGATGCATACTGCAGAGAATTCTGTAAGCGTTCTCGGAACTGTACAAATTCATAAATCTAGAAAAATGCAAAGAATCATTGAGAATAATGCATTTAAAGTTTTTTTTTGGGGGGGGGGTTAAATAGTGAATATCGCAAAACATATAATAGAAAGATTTTTTAAAAACAAAGTAGAAAAAAATTAAAACAAAAATTTTAAGAGTTCATTGCATCAAGGAAAATGGAAAAAACAGAACAGGAAAAAAATTGCATAGGAAAAAGAAAATCAAACAAAATAAAAAATCTTATATCATAGGCTGAAAGGAACATAGAAAAGAAAGAAATTTTAAAACAAAGAAAAAGGAAAGAAAAAAGCGAAAACATAGGAAAGAATGAAAAAACAATTAAAAAGAAAATTAAAAAAAGAAAAAAAAAGAAAAAAAAAAAAAAAATCTAAAAAGAAAGGAAATTTAGGAAAGAATTATTTTTGAAGGAAAGAAAAAAATAAATAAGGGAAAGAAAAAAAAAAGGAAAATTTTTGTTAAAGATAGGAAAAAAAATTTAACATAGGAAAGAAATGAAAACATAGGATATTTTCTTGAAAACATTGGAAAGAAAAATTGAATATAAATAAAAAAAAATGCTTAACATAGGAAAGAAATAAATAAAATAAAATGGAAAGGCAAAATTTTTTTTTTGAAAATAATTTGATATAATCAAAAATTTAAATTTGTCTTTAAATCATTAAAAAGAAAATGAAATGAAAATTAAAAAAAAGAAAAATTTAAAGGAAATCCAAATTATGTTTAACTTTTAACAAAGACATTTTAAGAAAAAAGAACTAAAATCTAAAGAAAGAAAAAAAAAAAAATAAAAATAAAAGAATTTATTATAAAAATATACAAAATGAAAGAAATTAAATACAAAAGAAATTCAAAAGGAAATTTAATGAAAAACTAAAAAAAGAAATTTAATCAGGAAAGAAAAAACAAGAAACAGAAAGAAATTAAAGGTCATATTTTGAAAAGACTTAACAAAAAAGAAATATGAAAGAAATTTTTTAGGGAAAGAAATGAAACATATTTTAACTTAAACATTTATAAAGAAAGCAGTAAAAAAAAAGAAAAAATAATTAAGTTTTTAAAGTAATAAAGGAAAATTTTTTAAATAAAAAGAAAAAATATAGAAAAAAAAAAAAGAAATGTTATGCATGGAAAAAAATAAAACATTTGAAAATCCTGGGGCACAGGAAAAACATAAAAAGGAAAGAAAAAAAGAACATGGAAGAAGAAAGAATTTGAAAAAAGACTGGAAATCCTGAAAAAAAAAAGGAAAGAAAGAAATAAATAAAAAAGACTCAGAATTAAAAAAAGGAAACTGGTCAAGGAAAAAAAAAGAAAGAAAGAAAGGTGTTCTTAAAAAGTAAATAAATAAAGAAAAGCTTCAAAAGGAAAAGGTGTTAAATAAAAAAAGGAAAAAGGAAAGAAAGTCTAAAAAGGAAAGAAAAAAATATAAATAAATAAAAAAAAAAAGAAAGAAAAAAATAGGAAAGAAAAAATATTTTGAAAAAGAAAGAAATTCATAGGGAAAAAAATTTTATAAAAGAAACGAAGAAGGAAAGATTTATAATAGGAAAAGAAAAAGAAACATCAAAGAAAAAAAAAATAGTTAAAAAACAAAATAAGGAAAGAAATAAAAAAGGAAAGAAAGAACTTAAACAAGAAAGAAAGGAGGGAAAATAGGAAAGAAAGTAAAAAAAAAAGTAACAAAAGGAAAGAATAAAAAAAAGAAAAGAAAAAAAAAAAGAAAAAAAGAAAGTTAGAATGGGTCCAGCCAGTGTCAATGCTGCCTTCACAAACTGAATAAAAAACAGTTGAGAGCATTTTATAATTAAAATCACATTACGATTGTTATATTAAATATAAACATATATTCTTCTCAAAAATCATTATTTATATTTTTTTTCTATGTTTAACCCTTTGAGACGTGCATTCCTGAATAATTTTAACCCTCCTGCTCCTGAATCAAAATTTGAAAATAATTGGGGTGTAATGTTCCACAGTAAATGTAAAAATAGTTAACAAGTATTTACCCACCATTCAACCGGTAGCTGAGCATTAAGCCACTTTTCTCTACCAACTGTTCAGACAGTGACTAGGCATTACGTTATTTTTCTCTACCACCTGCAAAGCAGTTGTCAGGGCTCAAAGGGTTAAAAAAAAAAAAAATAATAATTACAACAAATTTGTTAATCCATCTTCTTTTTCTTTAAAGAGTGCAGAATAGATGAACAAGAAAGAAGAAAAAAAACGTGACAAGTGGGTGACAGGTGTAAGGAGAAGGAAAAAAAACGAAACGAGGAAAAGAGAAAAACAAGGAAGATACAAGTAAAAAGAAAATGCTGTGAAAAAAAAAAAAGTAAAAACAAAATTTTAAATAAAAGGTATCAATTATCTGTCAAAAATTGAAATATTACATATGCAATACAACATAATGTTATACACATCATAACACACAAATACTACACACCCTAACGCTGCACACAAATACTACACACCCTAACGCTGCACACAAATACTACACACCCTAACGCTGCACACAAATACTACACACCCTAACGCTGCACACAAATACTACACACCCTAACGCTGCACACAAATACTACACACCCTAACGCTGCACACAAATACTACATACCTTAATAAATGTTCCATATTTATAGGAAGGAATTAAATATTCTGTAATCTGGGTGAAAAAAAAAAAAAAAAAAATTTCATAATTTTCAAAAAATTTTTAAACAAAAAAAAAAAAAAAAAAAATCTTATTTTATTTTTTAGCACAATAATAATAAACCAATAATAATCATTTATTGAAAAACATGTCAAAGAAATCCGCAGATTCTTTACAGACTGATATTTATCAGGTTAGCTGAGGGAATTCCTCATTTGCTATGAAATTTGTCAGTCAAAGACTGCTTGAGACTCTGAAAGTGGCCCTGTTGCATTTGGTCCAATGGATTATTTTAAAAGAGATGTGCTTATATAAACGAAGCCAACTATCAAATTCAACACTTTATGAAAACTTAAGCTTAGTAGAGAAACTAAAACACAATAAGAGGAGAATATTTGTTTGAGAAAAAAAAACAAAAAAAAACAAACACTGGTTAACATTCACTTTCCAAACCTGATACCAGGTTCAAATCTCACCAAGGTCGATTTTCCAGGAACGTAACTTTGATGTTATCAGTATGGGGGAGGCGTTCCCAGCATGCTGCACCTTTGAAAAATGCCCAAAAGCCATCTTATGGGCTGACCCAAGTTTTGCGAGGAAAATTGGGTAAACAAAAATATTTGAGAGCCATCAATGATTGTGCTAGCCATTGTGACCGAGGGTTTGAGCATACTAGCCTTGTTCAGACTCATTGAACATGTCAGATAATGCACTCTCTCACAGAAATTGTAACTGTGGTCCACTCAGCATAGTTGCAGTGTAAACCACAGGTGGGCTCAGTGGGTTTTGCAAAGGGAAAGGGCTTAGCTGCTTCATGTAGACTGACATACTTGGAAATGAGCAGTCATTTCAAAGATTCAGAGTGCGGTGCCTTATTTTTATTCCAAAAGTTCTTTTCACTATTGATCTCTTTCATTTTGTTACCAAAACAATGTTTCAAATACTTCAATCTTCAAGAACACAAGCAATAGAGAAAGAGAGGATGTTTTTGGTGGGTTTTTTTAAGCTGGTGTTCTCTAATACTACAAAACAGTGAATTTCTTTGCTTGGAGAAAAACTATTCATAAAAAATAGGATTGCTAGTTACATGTGATCGTCATTTACTGCTTATCAACCCTTTGTAGGTTTATTTAAAGCCAGAAAATATTTTTACATTGTAAGAATTCTTTGGGAGATAATAATGATTTACTGAAACAACTCCAACTAATTAACCTGTAACCTAGGTGTGTGGGGGGGCAGATAATACCTTTCCCAAGGGTATTCGCACATAAGAGAATATAATGAACCCAACTCGAATTGGAACTGTCCTTTCACCTCACCTAATTCCTTGAAATTATCAATTACACTACCCACATATCCAAGTTTACAACAACTGGTATTCCCAAGTGGTCGCCCATCTAGGTACTGATCAGGCTCGATGTTGCTTAACTTCAGTGATCATATAAGAACTAATATTTCTACATGATATAGCTGTAAACTATTACACAGTGAGAGTTAGCATAATGAGTTGGGGCTGATCAATATGGTTGTTGTTATTTTTACTCTAGTTTGTCGGTGGATGTTACTTGGCAAAAGACGCTTCATTTTATCCACATGGATTTCACAAAGGCAAAAAAGACCATAGCATAGATTTATTGAAGGTCAATTAGTCTGAGCAAGAATAATAGATTTAAATTCTCATTGCTTTCAGGCTGCACTTACCTCTTTATGATTAACAGAAAAAAATCGAAGCATTGTACCATACATGATGTGTGCAGAAAGAAAGTGCCCAAGACGCACAACATGGTTAGCAACAATGTAACTGAAAAAAGAAAGAAAAAATAATCAAAGTTTGGTAGAAAAAGTGATTATTAAAAGGTCCAGTTCATAACAGCAAATTTTGTTTTCTCTCAGAAATTGTTCAATTGAATCTGCACTTAAACAGTTCACAGAAAAGTGAGAACATAGCTTAAAATTAAGTGACGATAATATTTTTGCATCCGAGAAATGTTTTTCTAAAATTCTGCATCATTTAAAAATTACACCTATTAATTGTACTTTATTTATGATAATGAATATCCCCACCACCACCACATAAATTCATCCTCATCACTGAAATCTCTGTTTGCATATGTAGCAATACAATTTCTCACATATCCTAGACAGACAGATTCCTTTTAGATCAATTTAATGAACAAGGTTTTTCAGGAATCCTGTTTCCAGCCCTTTGAATTGGCAAACATAAAATTTTGTTAGTAATTTTAGATAGCCATAAAAGTAGGGTCTTTTGAAAAAACCAACCACACAAAAGCTGTCTGGGCGGTCACTTTTTCCAGTTGGTGGAACATGAGTGGACAGAAATGGGTAGTGGGTCCCCCCAGCCAGTATCCATATAATGAGCAGTCAGTGAATGGGTGGTAACAATTGGAGGGGGGGGGGGGCTGAAGAGCCATTTTTGCATTCTCAATCTTGTTTCAGCTTCACACACAGCAGCAGTTAAAGAAGTGTTTCTCCTTAGCCATTGAGTCCTTTGATCATCATTTTCAGCCTCACACACAGAAGCATTCAGGTATGCTCTTCTGGAAAGCCGATGGCTATGTTGATCTTCAGACCCAGTGGCTCTGATTGAAACATTCCAAGAGGCATTTTGAGACAGGCAAACTGAACATTCTAAAGACAATTCATTATCTCTTATATGCATGGCAGATCTGACGGCAATGTTTTTGCGACCTAAGCAAGTTCTTTTCTTTGGTGGCATGTCTAAGGCAAGTATGAATTGTCAAATGGAATTCATGGGGAAATACCAGAAGAGAATACTGTAAAGCTACAGGGATCACTAAATTTGAATAACTTTATGAAAGGTTAGAAAAATAAATGTTAAGTAATAAAAAAGCAAGCTTACTTATTATTTACGGTGAATGTAATACAAAAACTGGCAGGACAATAAAAAAAAAATGTCATTTTGGTAATTTGATATTTTAGTGATATTTGCATATGATGTTAGAAGTGAATAAGATTCGACCTGTTTTCTGGCTTCTTGAAACAAGATGTTTTGTATGTATTTTGTTCTTATTTTTTCCTTTTCTTTGTTCCAGATGTTACACTCTTTAGAGTCTGCTGAGTGTTTTTTTTTTTTACAGTTTGGATATAAAGGAGGCTTTTCACAGGGTGAATATTCAAGATCAGACTCAAGTTCCCCACATCTTCAAGAGACTGATTCTCTCGTACAATGATTTTGTAGATGACCATAATTTCTGACATCTATGAAGACAAGAAATGCATGGCTCTACCTCATCTTTATCTTTATTTCTTTAGGTAGTGTAGGTTTGTTGAATGTCAAAATGTATGTGCTTGTGTTTATTGGTTTGGTTTATGGCATATCAACCTCAATGGGTCATTTAATGCAGACATTTTTTTTTTCCTGGTAATATTTTTGCCTTGACAAAAATCTATTTCTGTTAATATTTTTCCTCAGAAATGTATAGCTGGCAACGTGGGTTGTTTTTCAAAAGCGTATAGCTGGCAACGTGGGTTGTTTTTCAAAAAATAGCTGGCAACGGGTTGTTTTTTCAAAATTTTTATAGTGGCAACGGGTTGTTTTTCAAAAGAAATAGCTGGTAGCGTGGGTTGTTTTTCAAAAGCGTATAGCTGGCAACGTGGGTTGTTTTTCAAAAGCGTATAGCTGGCAACGTGGGTTGTTTTTCAAAAGCGTATAGCTGGCAACGTGGGTTGTTTTACAAAAGCGTATAGCTGGCAACGTGTTTTTTTTTTCAAAAACGTATAGCTGGCAACGTGTTTTTTTTTTCAAAAATGTATAGCTGGTAACATGGTTTTTTTTTTCAAAAACATTATCAGAGGCCTTGCTGTTGGACGTAGTTTATCGTCATACTCGGAACGCAGATATCGTCCGAGTGTTAACTATTTGCCCATAGTTGGGACCCTAACAGGTGCTACCACCCCGGGTTAGTGTGGACCTGGGAACAACAGCAATTAAGAGGTTGTTCCACACTCCTCAAAACCTCCTGATCAGAGACCTTGCTATTGGATGTAGTTTATCGTCTTACCCAAGACACGGATGCAGTTTATCATCATACCCAGGATGGTTGCGTTTATTGATGTGTCATTTCTTTTTATTTGAATTCTTTTGATGTTTGTTACTCCTTGCTTTTTTATTGGGTCATCAATTTTAATTTCTTCTGGCAAGCAGAGTGACAGTTCTAGGGATTTTATTACTCCCTTAGATGAATTAAAAAAATTGGTGGGGGTAAGCCTTTACTTTAATTTTTGTCTATTTGCTTGATTTTTAGTAATTTTTCTCAGTCTTTTTGGGGTTTTTAACTGAATTAAAAGTGTATTATTATTTTTTTTTTTTACTGATTTTGGTTCTATCATGGACGATATAACCCTTTGCAACAAAAAGGAAACACTTTTGATATTTCACCATTTACAGATTTTTTTTTTTTTAAGATTCTCATAATCTTTAAAAAGATTTACATCTTTATTAAACATGGAGAGAAAGGAGGAGGGAATTTTAATATCACCTGTTTCATGTGACATCCTAAGACTGAGAAAAGATGTCCTAGGAAGCCAAGATGAAAGGTTCAGTCGCATAAATAATTTCAGGATGAAATGAAAAAATTCCTGACAACTAAAATTGCAACAAGACATGGAAGACTTTCAAGTAATTCAGACCAAAGCTGAGAATATAAAAATCAAAATTCTTGTCAAGGAAAAATATCGAAATACTGCAAATAAGGAACGTTTATACTCACCCTAATGTATCATTTATGATATGCTTTGCTTCCATACTGTCATAGAGATCAGGACACGGACCAAATGCACCTTAACGAGAATTAAGAAAAAAAAACAACAAAAATAATCAAAACCAGGGACAGCAAACAAACATTTGGGGTTGTCAACATTTTTAATTTTTATAAATACAAATGTTCATCCAATACAAGGACCAAGAGCCACTGAAGGCAGAGTGTTACTGTGTGGCATTGTATTAGTGTAAGAAAGGGCAAGAATTGAAGCTACGCATGAAAGATAACAGTTAACCCTAAAGGTCAAGATTGTAGTGAATGGGAAAATATCCTGCTGGGAGTCTGTTCCACAAAGAAAAAATTCTTGGGATATGGTTTGATTTATTTTGTTTTACAACATATCAACACCTCAATGGGTTATTTAACCTTTACCAGTGGAGGTGAAAATTGTCGCCATAGAATTCTCTCCTTTTGCTGCTCTAGACACATTCTGTCACCTTGAGATGGTTGCTATAAATAAACACTTGTCAACTGTTATTTCCGGTATTTTAAGCTAGAAATCTCTTACTGTTGCTTTGGAATGAGGCTAAACTCCCATTGTCCAATACAATTTTGAATTCTTCTAGACTCTACATGAGGTGTAACACTGATTAAATTCACATTAATTTTTTTGTGATTTTTTTGTAAACAAAAATATCCGAATCAACATCCAACAAATTTTCTTTGATTCAAAATCTGATGATGACTTTGAAGGCTTGAGTGGATATTGAGGGTGAAGTGGTCGAAGATGGTAACCATGCTAGCGACATGGAAGAAAGTGATGATAACCACTAGCGGCTACTATCATCCATGTCTGACTAATTTCATGGAAGCTAATGGCGACCATCGATATACCTGATAGACTTTCTGAAGGTGAATTATTTTGTCTATTGATAAACGGCAAGATAACAAACAAATATGATAGTCAGGTGAAAAAAGAGCAAACAAATGCTGGTGTCCTCTCATATGTAAACGAGGAAACACATCACTTTTTTGATGAAATGAAAGCCTTTTTAACAATTTTGCTTCTTATTCCCCCCCATCAAACTACACAAAGAGTAACAAAAGTTAAAGTACGTTGAATTGTTTATGTATTTGTTTTTTATTTTGTGTTTATTACTTCGTGTCTGTCTATATCTCTGAGATGAGGTATTATGTACATTATTCGGACTATTGTCCTCATCTTTGTCATCATATTTATTATATTTGTTTCAAGTAAAATGCTTTGAAAGCCTTCAAGTTGGTGGTCGGAATGATGATACTGAACATTTTATTTTATTCATTAGTTTAGAACCAAAATTTAGTTCCACAAAATTGTTAAATGGATGTTTTCTATCAATTATTTGTTAATTTTCCCTTGAAAGTTCATTCCTGCCTTTAACCGAGTATTGAACTCACACTCTTTGGGTAATTGTCACTTATCTAACAATGAATTTTTCAGTACACATGGCACAGTGATAAAGGCGATGATTAGATGGGTTTGACAGAAATGTTGAAAAAGTATTTTATAAGTTTGAGAAAAAAGGCGGTGGAGTTTCAGCAGGGAAAATTAACAGGAAATAATTTCAAACATTGGTGGAACTAGAACAGTCTACCCCAAGAGCTAAATAAATAAAGTTACATTTCAACCAATGAAGAATTTGAAATGAACAACAGAAAAAAACAATAAATATGGCGACAAAAGATTAGGACAATAGTGAGATAATAATGTAAATTATTTTTTTTTCAATTTTTTGTTTTGAAATTCAAAACATGCATGCAAAACATAATGCATTATATCAAAATATTACACATTCTTTTATTAGTGTACAAAAAATAAAATCTATACACACAATACAAAGAAAGTTATAATAACTTGAAAATAGTAGGTGTTCATATTTTTTAACCCCTCATAAAAAAAAAAAAAAAAAAAAAAAAAAAATTTGGGGTGGCAAGGGGAACAATTCTAGAAAGAAATTAGCATGATAAAGGTTAAACCTGACAAGATTTTTTGGATAAGTTCATATGAATAAAATATTATAAATTAATTGATTTAAAATATGGTTATTTTCGCTACACAGTTCCAACCATGTTTCAAAAATAGAAGCTAAAAACCCCTAATTTTATTTTTGCAATTAAATTAAAAGCATTAGTTCCATTTCATCTTCAAGCGAATTTTGGAGTAACTTTTTAAAAATTACCGGGTTTTAAAGACACAGCTAAAATCACATTTCCATGGTTACAGAATATTCTACTCAAATTTAAAAAATGATGTTGAAATTTTTTTACCATTAACAATTTTTTTTTTTTTTTAAAAAAAAAAAATTCAGACGACATCCATTCAACTGATGTCAGGTTTCAGTGTAAAATACATCCCTACCCCTTACCAAATTGTAGCTAATAACTGATACAATGATACTGACATAAGGAAAATCTAGTCACCCCTTGTTCAATTTGAGTAGAATATTCTGTAACCATGGAAATGTGATTTTAGCTGTGTCTTTAAAACCCGGGTAATTTTTAAAAAGTTACTCCAAAATTCGCTTGAAGATGAAATGGAACTAATGCTTTTAATTTAATTGCAAAAATAAAATTAGGGGTTTTTAGCTTCTATTTTTGAAACATGGTTGGAACTGTGTAGCGAAAATAACCATATTTTAAATCAATTAATTTATAATATTAATGCTCTGTAAATTTACATTGAGCACTATTTTGTAAAAATAAAATATCTATAAGAACACCGGATTTTATATCTTACTGTTCTTTCTTTTTATTTATATACATATATATGAATAAAATATGTATTCTTTGTAAGAAATCAGTTTGTAGACCAGGTTTCATTGATGTATTTCTGTAACAAGGATTTTTACCAAGAGTCAAATATATTGATGGTATTTTTAAAAAAATTTTTTTTTTTTATTGAAAATGTATTGCTGGTATTTTTACTATAAAAATCTATTTTTATACTTTCAGTGTATTGACCGCAGTTTGGGGGGTTCACTATTTGGCCATAGCTGAGACCCTAACAGGTTTTACCACCCTGGGTGAGAGTGGACCTGGGAACAACAGTAATTAAAAGGCAATTCCATGCTCCTCAAAACCTCCTGATCAGAGGCCATGTTGCCGAATGCAGTTTATCGTCATACTCAGGATAAACAATTTTTGGGAATAAGCTGTCCGAAGGAACTTACTTTTTATTATAGGAATATGAGCGTTTGGTTTGGTTTGTTTTATGGCATATCAACCTCAATAGGTTATTTAATGCTGACAAGATATCTTATTGTTGGTAATATTTTATTTTTCAAAAATTCATTACTAGTATTAACTATTTTCTTCTAAAATTCATTGCTGGTAATAAAACCTATTTTTACAATTAACACCAGTTTGAGAGTTAACTATTTGCCCATAGTTGGGACCCTAACAGCTGCTACCACTCTGCGTCAGGATGGACCTGGGAACACCAGCAATTAAGAGGTGGTTCCACGCACCTCAAAACCTCCTGATCAGAGAGGCCTTGCTGTTAGATGTAATTTATCGTCTTACCCAGGACAGAGGAATACAAGGGGGAATGGGGAAGGATTCACCCTTGGGTACATGGCATGACAGGTCCCAGTTGCATAGGTCAGAGATGGTGAGTTTGTAGAATGTAGCTTATCAGAACACAGGCCATGGGAATAGCGATAGAGCAGGGAGAGGCTTGCAACATTTCGTCTGGAGGAAAGGGGTTGTAGGATGGAAAATAATTCATCACCTACAAAGCAGCAAAGACAGTTTTGAAGTCTATCAAGACGGGCAAGTGAGAACTAAGTAGCTTCAGCCCAGATATAGAAGCAGTACTCCATTTTTAGTCTCATCTGGCTCTTGTAAAGCAAATATAACAAGGAGAGTCAGATACTTAGAAAAGCAGTTCAATAAATCAACCATTTTCCAGCATATATGGCAATAGATCGGATATAAGGTCTGAGTTTGGTTTATGGCATATCAACCTCAATGGATTATTTAATGATGACAAAATTTTTATTGCTGATAATATTTTTTCATCAAAAATATATTGCTGGTAATCTTTTTTACAAAAACGTATCACTGGTATTAAAACCTATTTTTACACTTTCATAGTGTTGTGACCCTAGTTTGGGGGTAAACTATTTGCCCATAGTTAGGACCATAGCAGGTGTTACCAACCCAGGATAGGATGGACCTGGAAACACAAGCAATTAAGTGGTGATTCCATACTAATGAAACGCTCCTGATCAGAGGCCTTGCTGTTGGACGGAGCTTATCGCCTTGCCCAGGACGCGGATGGAGCTTATTGCCTTGCCCAGGATGGTAAGGTATTGGGAGAGCTTGTGCCCCAATAGATGTTCAAGGCAAGGCACCTCCTTGAGAGAAGACCCATCCATCATGATGGCTGAAAGTCCAGGTCTGCTCAGTGGAACTTTCCATTTTTCAGTTTATAAATTACAATGCATACAAACACAGAAAGAGCTGAAAATGCATTTGTGAAAACAATATAAATTTTCTTTCTACTGTAGGAAGGCATTGTACGCTGATTTGCTTAGACAAGCTTCTGCACGTTGGTTATTATTGTAGCAAAACTTTGGTTGTTGTATTCTTCAGCCTTCTTCAAGTATCTGTCACATTTTCTCAAGATTCCTGGAATTTTGAATTCAACCTCTTTAGTCAACAAGTAAACAGTTCTTATTCTACTTTTTCTGACACAAAAATTTAACTCTAAAGCATAGATCGACACACACAAACACACACACAAAAAAGAAAAAAAAAAAAAAAGAGTTATACAGGCACACAGGTAGAAACAGAAATTGCACCTTTACTTACCTACGATGCAATAAAGTCGTATCAACAAGAGTTTAAGCTGAAAGTTTGATGGTGAATTTTTCAAGCCTCTCTCCAACTGGGTTATTGCCTGCCATAAGACTCCTGTATCACCTGAAATTTTTAACAAATTTCACGTTAGCTTCTCAAATGCATTTTTTTCTAGTGAAATAAAACAACTAAAGAAATACTAGAAATGAAAAAATGTTTTAACTTTTTATAAATACATAAAAAATTCTCCTGCCAACTATTAGATATACTTTTAAGTTTTGCAATTTATAGAGATAAAACTAGTAGTATAACCAGTCTTCGCCCGGGTCTTTCATTACTGGGAATTTTTGCCGTTCAATTGGAGCAGTTTAAGTTTAAGTCCACCCGACTTTCTGAAGGAGAATTATTTTGTCTATTCATAAACAACAAAATAAACTTTATTTACCAACAAGAATAATAAATATGCGAGTCAAGTGAAAGAAAGAGTAAATAAATGCTGGTGTTTTCTCCTACGTAAACATGTGGAAGGACGTCACTTTTTTGATGAAATGAAAGCCTTCTTAGCCATTTTCCTATTTATTGCACCTCAGAACTCCACAAGGAGTAATGTTAAAGTATGTTAATTTGTTAATGTATTTGTTTTTTTATTTTGTATTTCAATTTTCTTTGTTTTCAATGCCTAAACATGCATGCAAAATGTAATGCATTCTATTAAAATATTACTCCTCCATTCTTTTATTAGTATACAAAAATGTGATAATTTTAAAACAGTAGGTGCTCATGTTTTTTGTGCACTAAAAAAAAAAAAAAAAAAAAAAAAATGCAGTTACAGAAGGGAACAATTCTATGAAGAATTTGGTAGGGTAAAGGTTAATGGCTAAAATTACTTTTGCTTATGTATGCATTTTTTTGCCAAATGCATATGTGAGGTTCCTTTCTCCTTACATTCATAGAGGCTGTTATAAAATGAAAGAAATCAAGCCACCATGGAATTTCCAGAGCTGATCATGAGAAATTTTACAACTTACCTGTTTGGTGCCATATATCCAAAAGAAGGTGCATAGCCAGAAGTAGATAAGTGTCTGCATACTGGATGTCAGTATGGAGCAAGTCTTTACCTAGAAACAAAAAAAAAAAAGGGTGGGGTGAGAAGAAGAAATGATCAAAAGACAAAAATACTGACAAAGCTTCTTGACAAAGTGGGAAATCAAATTCAGGAATAACATCTCTGCATTTTTACAACAGACTGATACATCAAATTGTGTGTGTGTGTAATAACTACATTCTACGTAAATTCTATGGGATCAACAATAAATCTGGTATGGATCCCTCGCCCTGTAATTGTAGAAATGGTGAAAATTGTCCAGTCAAAGGAGAATACACAGTTTCAAAGATTATTTATCAAGCAACCACTTACCCCAAAGTAAATAAGTTAAATCATAATATTTACATTGGAATTTCTGCAGGAGAATGGAAACAAAGATTTTACACCCATAGGCATTCTTTTTCCAACCCAAAATTAAAATAAACTGCTCTATCCAAAAACTTTCAGGAATTGAGAGAGAAAGATCTGAACCTTGACTTGATTGACTGAAAAATTATAGGTTTTGCTCATACTCCTAAAAATTTTAAGGGTAGATGTAACCTATGTTTAAAAGAGAAGATTAGAATAATAAAATTTGATAATCAAAGTATACTACTAAACAAAAGTAATAGGTTAGTTTCTAAATGTCGTCACAGGAGTAGGTTTAAAGTGATCTAAAATATTATTGATCTTGCTTAATCTTTAATCATCTAACACATCTATTATTATTTCTAATCCATTTCAATCCTATCTGATAACCTTCCACTACCTTACTGATTATTTTTATGACCAGTAATATATTTTTCTTTAAAATTGTATATGTGATAAAATTTTTCCTTATATTTTATCTTCATAAACTTTATTATCATTATTTTTTACCTTCATTATTTTTCTTATTCTTTTATCATTTTGTTCTTTTTATTTCTTTTTATTATTTATATTTATTTTTGTTATTACTCTTTTAATTATTTATTTATTATTTTTTAATTATTATTTTTTATTTTATTATTTTTTTAATTTTACATTTTACATTTTTTTTTTAAAAATCTTAAATTTTAAATATTTTTAAGTTATTTTTTTCTTTATATAAACTATCTGCTTATGGTTATTATTTTTCTTATATATTTTTTGCTAGCATAGATTTGGGAAGTTTTTTTTTTTTTTTTTTTTTTTAAAGAAAATATATGTTTTGTTCTTTGGTTTATAACTAATATTTACTATTTTAATTTTTGAAATTGTTTGAACTCAGTGTCTTTAATTTTGTGATTAATTTTCACCCTGACTTAGGATGCTAAAATTTTAAAATATAGGTCAAGGTTATATTAACAGTGTCTATTTAGGCCAGACATTTCCGCCTCCCCTTCCCATGATACTGGAGGTTCAGTTAATATAATGTCTATATTTTCATCAGCTAACCCCTGCTTTCTTTCTTGTCTTCTTGTTCTTTTTTCCTCCACTTTTTTTTTTCAAATGTTTACATTTAAAGTTCCTATTTTATGCCTTCACACTTCAGAGTTGAAAATGCTAACGGACTTCTTTGTTGAAATACCTAATTTATATGCTCTGTTATAATAAATACATTGAGGTCTTTTTGTGGATCAGTTTTAACATTTTTTATTAATTATTAGGATTCACTTGGATTATACAGCAACAGATTATTATTATTATATATATATATATATATATATATATATTAGTGTCATCCACATAGAAGCCACTTTCATTGTATCACAGCTCATCAATGTGGCTAGACATCAAATTTCTTCACGCCAGAATCAAAAAGACTGAAAAATAAAATTGACAAAGATTATTGTTTAAGGTTGACGGACACGCATGTCTTAATTAGTTTTTTTTGTTTTGTTTTTTTTAAGAATTGGTCAAACTCAAACAAAAACATTGTTTACAATCGTTATGAGTCTATCGATTGATGAATAGAATTTTATTATAAACAATTGTCTTCTAAATGGAATTTTTAAAGCATTCTGAATGTAAAATAAAAAAAAATGTGCAAGACAATAAGAAACACTACATACAAAAAAAAAAAAAAGTGAAGTTTTGTTGAAATCGGTTGAAAAATGTAGGTAGCCTTTCTGTAATCTTTTAGTTTTACAATTTATGATTTTTACTTATTGAATACAGTAAAAAAAATTGCATATTTTGCTTGTGGTGATTCATAATTAGAATTCTGATTTGAATATATTTTCCACTCGTTGTTTCTAATACAAAAAATATTAACTTTATTTGGGTTTATTAATTTATTACAAACTGTGTTCTTCATTTAATTATCATCTTCTGAAATATTGTTGTTTTTTTGTCTATCAGATGATTTTACGGCATTTTTAAATTATTTTTAATAAAATTTTAAATATTGAATTAATTTCAAATAGAACCAATGCCTTATTGATCTTTTTAACAAATTGCAAAGGGAATTGTAAAACGGCCCTAAAGTAGATGGAATTATCTTTCCCTAAAGATAAAGAATTATCCGATTTTTGATTCGTACAATCAGTAGAGATCGTTAGATTATTGTTTAAGGTTGACGGACATGCATGTCTTTTTTTTTTTTTTTTACGAATTGGTCAAACCCAAACTCAAACAAAAACATTGTTTTCAATCGTTATGAGTCCGATTGAATTGAATAGAATTTTATTATAAACAATTGTCTTGTAAATGGAATTTTTAAAGCATTCTGAATGTATAAATAAAGAAAAAAAGTGTGCAAGACAATAAGAAACACTACCTAAAAAAAAAAAAAAAAAAAAAAAAAAGTGGATGTTTGTTTTATCAGCTGAAAAATGTAAGAAATCCGATCCCATATTTAAAAGGAACACACACAAAACAACCTGGGTTTTTTAACCCGATGTGAGTTGTCCCCTTTCATTCTCACGATGTGTCTTAATCGTGTTTTCAAATTGATTTTGTTAAAAAAAACAATTGTATTTTTCCCATTTTTGGCGCTGTTAGAACCACCACAAGGTAATTTTATGTAGTCCTGTGAAGTTTTGTTGAAATCGGTTGAAAAATGTAGGAAATCCGATCCAATATATAAACGTTACAGACAGACAGACACACACACACACACACACGTTTTTATAATAAGTAAGATTCTCGATACTACACCAAAAAAAAATAAATCTATAAGATTGGGGAACTGAATGAGTAAATTTGTCTTGACAGTTTCCCAACAAAGTGGATATTTGGACTTACAACTTAAAAAAACGAATTTGCACTTTAATTCACTTCATGTGATAATGGTGGCAATGTCTCTTCATGCTGAGGGTACCGGATGGGCAGTTTTCTGGTTGCTGTTTCCTACTGGTAGTTAGGCTGGAGAAAATCCATTTATTGAAGAGGCTGCTCTGAACAACAGTTAATATTACACATGTGTTCTTTAGTGCCATTTTGCACATGAAAGAATGTAAACATTTTTTTACCTCTGTTATTTAATATAAGGTCATACTTAATGTTGAAATCAATAAATTAGATCCTTTGCACATGTTACATTAGACTGAATGCTACTACTACTACTACCCTAGGCATTTCATTATCAAAACAGCACATGACAATAAGATAGCAAAGATAAATTTAAATTAACTCAACAAAAATCACCTTAACCCCTCAACCTTTCTTTTCACCAACATTTGTGGTATTCATACCAACTTCTGCAATGTGGAAGCATTCCTCTTTGAAAAGTCTCTAGACTTTCTGTGAAACTAATCTCAACTTTTCAATCCCCTCGTTTGATTTCTTGATTTCAAATTATCTTCCTTTTCCTTATGAAGAATCTAATGTTGTCCATATGATTGAATTCAACAGTTGTTTGTCCATGAACATTGCACATTTATTAGAAAACATTCTCTTGAATCATAAAGAGATATTTCTTTAATCCAACTTGTGTCTGTCTGTATTTACAATTGCCCTTCCTCTGTTGAATGCTAGATAATATTTGATGATATATATATATATATATATATATATATATATATATATATATATATAGACTTTTGCCAGAAGATAACACCCTTTTGCAAATATACATTATTTGGTAACTTTAATAAAAATATTGAAATATAAATCTTATACAATATCACTGAACCACACTGAAATCCAGACCCCTTAACTCTTTATCCTTTATTGGTTACACAAGGTGGACTTCACAATGGTTCCCAAGTAACCCTGATGGAAACGTTTCTCTTCTAGATCTCTTTGTTACCCCTATCCAAGGCTCATGTCATACTTTGTAGCTCTGCCCTCCAAACAACTCTGATTACGCAGTAGTGTCTGTAAACATTTCTTTCTGCTCGCCTACAAGCCAAAAACCTACAACCAACTGAACATCTTTCTGTCATCAATGTGCAGACTGGGACTCATTTTGTGACATCCTTTGGAACAGTTTTTAATCATCCTGTTCATAAATATTCATTTACAATCTCCTTAAAAAATAACAAGTTCTTGGCATCAGTCATATATATATATATATATATATATATATATATATATATATATATATATATATATATATATAAAATAAATAAATATATATATATATATATATATATATATATATAAAATAAATAAATAGAAGAACCAAATACAAAAACAAAACATTGCCAAAAGACCTAACACCCTAGTATGTTTTATATATATATATATATATATATATATATATATATATATATGCCTGTATATATACATACAATATAGAATTTGAAATATGTTAAAACTGACCCAAAAAGAGCATTCAATGTTTATTTTCATTAAACAGATTATATATATATATATATATATATATATAAACTGGATGTCATTATTTTACCTTTAGGACCCTTTCAGTCAACACTTTCTCAAAAGATAATCATTAGGAAACACATTAATAAATAATGAATGAGGAGGGAAAATTGGAACACGATTAAAATAGATTTTAATTATATATAAAATAACTAAAAAAAAAAACTTTGTTACAAAAAAAAGGAATAAAATACCAAAAAAAAAGTTACTTATAATCCCTTGATCAAACATAAGGAACAAATAAAATACTCCTCTTCTTTACATAAGCTCGGCTGATGAGACTTAATATAAACAGCTTCAAGCTGAAAGAGCACTATATAAGATGGAAAACAATTCCATGATTATAATAGCAACACAATTGGAATTGTCCAGCAAATGCTGCCCAATGGAAGAGTCATGCATTGCTTGAGTGGTTCTGTTAACTGACTACTCAAACATAAATCGACAGTTCCATGTTGCATAATCTGCATTTCCAGTCTCTGATTGCTCCATTCTATATGAAGGTTGTTAACAATGTGTCAGTGAATATAGGTGCCTGGTTGGGTTTAAAAGCCATTTGGTGACCAAGCCTTTCTCTGAACACAATCACATAATATTGTCTTTTTACACTTGTCACTTACAGATTTCAGCTAAGACGATACTGTTGATGCAATATTCAATTAGTTTTACAGGATCCAGTTTCAATCTTTTTTTTTTTCTCAAATAAACTACATCTATCAACCTACTTCCAGACTCTGTTATTGCCTATTATTGTTCTTAATCTTTATGGTACCAATTTCTTTGAATCAGTCATTCCTTTCCCCAGAAAGTTCCATCTGGTTTATTTGACCAATATCTCAATCCTCTATTTCCTATTGATTGTTCATAACCTTTTACTTAATTTTTATTTACAACTCCTAATTTTGAAAAAACAATTAAGTCTTAATCTCTAATTAGGGTTGCACTAATTGGCTTATAATTGATCATGTCAGCTTCTGCTGGTAAATCACTCATTGCCACCCACACCCTTTTCTTGCAGATTCATTTTGTTTTGTTTTTTCATAATCAGTCATTTTTGATTAAACGCATTGCAGAAATTTCATGCTTGGTTTAAGAATCATTAATTATTCTTGGACATTGAATGAATTTAAATATTCTGATGTTTTTTCTTTGATATTTTTTCCTTTTGCCAATCTTTATTAAGAATAATCAAATTACCAAATATCAACCAAGTAATCATAAACCTAAGTTCTACACTTGTTATACATCTAACATTATATATTAACTTAGCCAAGATGTAAAGGATATTCTTCTGCTGGCTTGTAAAATCCTACTTGGCCTAGGTTACTACTTTTCATGCACTTTTCCCAACAGGATTAATTTGAATAAAATACAATTTCATTATAGTAATTTGGCTTATGCCATGGAAGTTTTTATCTCTAAACAAAGCCAGCTTAAAATTAGTAAATGATGAAGCACCCTACCAAAAAGAAAATATGACATTGCTTACCTCGAGTGAGTGCATATTTATAAAACTTTAGAAGGTCTTTCACTTGTGACATCCTTTCCTCAGCGGAAAGATTCTCATAAGTCCCCAAGTAAAAAAATCCATACTGGCCATTCAGGTCATTTTATTATATATATGCAAAACTTGACCATCCATAAATTCCTGAAAAGTTGTCTTTCATCTCAGAGTGAAGATCTTTGTGTATTGAATTCAAAAACTGGAAAAAATAAATTAAAATCCATAAAAAATATCAACAACAATGACATTAAAATAACTCAACAAACAAATTCTCATCTTAGGGTTGGATATCTAAACTGATAAGAAAATGTAAAGAACCATGGGGGGTCAGTGATTTTTTTTACAAGGGGGTCAGTGAGGGTATTGGAAGAGAAGAAAAGATCCCCCACCAAATCTATTCAGAAAATGGAAGCCTAAACAACTAAAGTTGTACTCTCTTTTCAGGTACCATCTTTTACAAGTGTTCTAGCATGTGGGCCAGTTCTTTATATATTTCTCAGTCTTTAAAATTCAAACAATGTCACCAAAGAAAGAAAATAGACTAATTTAATACATGGCCCAATGATCACAGACATACAAAAAAAAAAAAAAGAAAAAAAAAGTGAAACATTATTTTTCTTTTTTTTACCACATATGGAGAGAGAAGGGAGATCACCACCTTCTGCGGGATCAGGTTGAGATCATAGACAAAGAACACCATTGGAAAATTCGTAAACTTAAGGAATCAGCACATAAGCTAGGCCACAAAAATCTCCTGAGCTGACCAAGCATAGAAATGAATACAATATGGGAACCAGTAATAGCCAGAGAAAATGCAAGAGAAATGAGCTCTGGAAAAACATGAAATGATAACAGCAAAAATTGCAATATGAGCACTGGTAAAAAATGTTTGCTGAAGACATTAGGTTTATAATACCCAGAAATTCATACACAGATGTCCTCAAAGGCACAGTGGATAAAGGCGTTAGTTAGATCCAGTGACAGGACCCAAAGAGTGTGAGTTCAATACCCGGTTAAGGCAGTGGAGAACTTTCAGAGGGAAATTAACAGGAGATAACTGATATCCATTAAACATGGCACGTGGAACTAGAACAGTCTGCCCCAGTGAGCAAAATAAAGGGTTCAGTTTGACATTCCAACCACCTGAAGAAGGCCGAAACGTTGTAATAAATAATGGCGACAAAAATGAGGATAATAATCCAAATAATGTTAATGAACATTTTTATTTTTTGTCACCACTTTAAATGGGTCATTAAATATCTGCTGAACTTAAGACAGTAGAGACTCCAACTGATGTCAAATCGGTTAGGTTTTAATCCCGGCTTAAAACAATCACATGTCTAGCCACACTGATGAGCTGTGATACAGTGAAATAGTCTATCCGTGGATGACTATATATGCCCCCTCTCATAGGTTGAGCACTTTGGAAGGAAGGGAATTTGTTGGCTGCTACTAATTAACACTAAAAGTTGTTCGCTATGAATTGAGCACTCGGGTAGCCGGTAATGCTTATATCTTGTATATATTGCATTAAAAATCCACTGTGTGCACTAATAGCCTAAGGGGGACAGACTGATTTACATCAAATTGGTTATGTTTTGATCCCAGCTTTACAGTGAAACAGTCTGTGGATGACTATATATATTTTGTTTGGCATGCTGGTCTTTTTCACAAGTTAAAGGGTCTATTGGTTGTTTTGTCTTATGGCATATCAACCTCAGTGGGTCATTTAATGCCAACAAAATTTTGAAATAGATTCATAGCGATAGTTTGGTAAAAAAGATGTGTATTTTTTTATTTTTTTCAAAAATGCATTGCTGGTAATATTTCTTTTTTTAAATGTATTGTTGGTATTTCTTTTTCAAAAAATGTATTGTTGGTAATATTTTTTTTTTGTTGTTTTTACAAAGTATTTCTGATATTAAATTCTATTTTTACACTTTTAAGTGTTTTAACCCTAGTTTGGGGGTTAAGTGTTTTAACCCTAGTTTGGGGGTTAACTATTTACCCATAGCTGGGACCCTAACAGATGCTACCACCCTGGGGTCAGGGTGGACCTGGGAACTCCAGCAATTAAGAGGTGGTTCCATGATCAGAGGCCTTGCAGTTGGTCTTACCCAGGACGGGCTATGCTCTGTCTGGTTGAGTATCTGACTTTATCTAATCTTATTTAACAGATTGTGTAATAAAGTTATGTTGAACGGCCCCTTCTCTAAATCCTTTCACATTAATGCAAGAGTCACCAGGCATCTATACATTGGACATACATTGTTTCTTATTTTCATCAAGACCGTCCCTGATGTCATCAGTTCTCAACACAGTATTTATGCTGACAACAAGTATTTACTCCTGTCTTTATTAAGACAGGAGTAAATAGTTGTTGTCAGACAGGTTGGACAAAGTAAAACTGGCAGCACATCTCAAAAATGAATTCCAATAAGTTGATAACTGGGGCAAGAAATGGCTTTTAAATTTTAACACCTTTAAAATGAAACTTTTGGTCATAAAAGAGAAATGATTTTACCATTATTAGCATGGCTGATGCTAACCCCCACAAAAGTAACCCTTCTTGCAACCCCACTAACATTGAAATTAACCACTCCCCATCAATTATACTTTCTGTTGAGAATGTTCATATATACGTAAGAGGTGTTGGGATAAACAATTAACTTCTCCTGCCTGACGGAAACTTATCAGTGGAAACTATGGTAGCATGAGTGATTATCATCCCTCCATTTTAGTGTGTGTACGCGGGTGTGTGTTGATACTTACTGAAAAGAATTTGTTTTCAGGTTTTACTCTTATTTTACTACATTAAATTGTTTATTTGATTCAAACTGTAAACATGGTGACTTTTTAGGGAATATCATTTATTAAATTAATTTTGGAATGTTCCTTGAAAACTTAGGGCAATTTTTGTACAGTCATGTTAAATAACTCTCACTTTTCACTACTGGGTTTAGAGAGATTATGTCAGAATGGTGTTTGGGACAGTAATCAAACTGGACCATCAGGGAAGAAAGCGTTAAATATGATTCTTGCCTTAGTAATGACCCTGATTTGTAGACATTCTTGAGTAGTGAAGAAATCGTTTAACATTATAAAATTGTGAAGACAATATTTTCCCTATTTTGACTGTGGATTCAAATAATCTAGTGGAATCCTTATTTTAACGTCTTTAGTTTAGTTTCTTTTTGTTTTTTAGGAAAGGTTTAGAAAATCTTTATCTGAACAAACATTAGTTAACCTTTAGGCCTCTGCATTACTAATATTACATTTCTTTCTACTACATTCTTTTTCAAGGCTTCTCAATTGCAGTATTCTTATTGTTAATTTCGCTAAAAATTGTTTTCTGTTACAATAGAAGGATTTGACAGCTATGAAATTCGAACACACTATTGTTCAGGGATTAGAGTCATCTTCAGTGGCAGGATAAACTTTCTGTGCAGTAAATGAAGTCACATGCAGAGTGATAAAGATTAAAAACCCATATAGCATTTAAACAATTTGAGACAAAGGTAAAATGAAGTCAAACAGTTTATGTCCCTTGGGCATTATAACCGTTTCCTATTTGCTTAAGCATTGAATTTATAAGGTGACAAAAGTCGACAAAACCAAGAGTTTGGCATGACAATGTGTTCTGACATGCAGTACAGAAACCAGGTTGTGTTCCCCCCCCCTTTCTTTTGCCCGTCTTTAGGTTAGGTACTTTTAAGGTTGGTCACCATTTTTTTTACCACTTTCGACAAGCCTTAACACGAGGAAACAGACAAAAATAAAGGCATCACACCAAACATGCAGTCGGTAGTTTTATCCTCTTTTATTCAACTATTATCAAGTTCCAAATCTGTTGTACATGCAGTATCCCCGGAGTAATGAATGTCAGAATTCATTAAAAGACGTGTAGAAAAAAAAAAAAAATGCAGTAAAAGTTCAAGATGCCATTATTTTAAAACTAAAAGATTTCAGATCTAATATTTGAGATTATCAATAAATTTAATCAAGGAACACACATGAATTTTCCAAATTTTTCTGAGAGTCCCTCTCCCACACCTCATAGCTGATTGGTTTTTGTTTGTTTGTTTTGTTTTACGGCATATCAACCACAATGGGTTATTTAATGCTGATAAAATTTCCTTTTTTTTTCCAAAAATGTATAGCTGGTAATATTTTTTTTTTTTTTGAAAAATGTATAGTTTGGTTTGTTTTGTGGCATATCAACACCTCAATGGGTTACTTAATGCTGACAAGATTTTTATTTCTGATAATATTTTCTTTTTTTAAATATTTATTGCTGATACTAATTATTTTTAAAGTATCAGGTCATCCCATAAGTTCTGTCCGAATTTTAACTTTTTGTTAAAATGAACGAAATTTAAAGAGTGCTGTGTTTCCTTTCTTGAACTCATAAAGCATTATGTGCCTCAAATGATTCTGGGGTACTTCCATGTTAGCAGGGTTTTAATCAAACAAAATTTAATTTTATTGTTCTCTGAAATAAAATTTGATCAATTTAAATGCATCTAAACATAAAAATAATGTTCAGCTCCATTAGACATTATAAAATACTCTTTAAATTTCGTTCATTTTAACAAAAAGTTAAAATTCGGACAGAACTTATGGGATAACCTGATATTTTTACACTTTCATAGTGTTTTGAGTCAGGTTGTGGGGGTCAACTACTTGCCCATAGCTGGGACCCCAACAGGTGCCACCACCTCAGGCCAGGGTGGACCCGGGAACACCAGCAGCCAAGAGGTGGCTCCACGCTCCTCAAAACCTTCTGATTAGAGGTCTTGCTGTTGGACGTAGTTTATCGTCTTACACAGGACGGATAGCTGCTTGAGATGGGATGACTATATTATTTTTACACTATTTATATTGTTCAGACTGTTGTCCTCATCTTTGTTGCCATATTCACAATGTTTCATGCCATTATATACTTCAGATGATTGGAATTTTAAAACTGAATCCTTTATTTCATCCACTGGGGTAGAGAATTAACTAGTTCCAAATGCCTGAGCCTGAGATATCTGGAAGAGGCATGGCATGTGAAACTAGAGTAATTAACCCCTGTGGATGAAATAAAGGAAATCATAAATTACACAGCCACTGGTTTTGTGTTCTCAGTAAGAGATGCGAGGAGATTTTTCAAGTATTTTTTTCTCCAATACCTGGATCCATTTTTCTGCCTCAGCCAGAATCATACTTTATCCAATGTTTGACCAGTTAATTAAATTTTATTCAAGCACCAAAGAGAATCTCTTACCTGGCTCTTGTCTTTATCTCCAAGCATTACAAGGTAAGGTCTCAGATCAGCAAAACATCTCGCTTTATCACCAAACATGTTGAAATATTGTTTCAACAAATCTGTAGGTTTACCTAACGAAAATTAAAAAAAAAAAAAAAAAAATTTTTTAAATTTTAGAAACTGGAAATTAAACATATGTGCAAAAATTTATTTTTTTTTTTGTTTTTGCAAGTTTTGTATTTTTTTTTTTGCAGAGAAATAAAATTTTTAAGTAGGGATGTAACAATTATAGAAATATTTGAAAACCTTTATGAAGTATAATTTCTCCCTTGCGTAAATGTTCTTGTTACCATCATTTTCTTTTCACTTCTGTTTAGACAAAAATAAATAAATAAATAATAAACATAATTAATTCTGAATTATGACTTTTCACAGGTATTTACTTTACCTTAATATTAGTTGCTTTTGTTACAGAATGCAAAGGACAGGGCCAGAATCATCAGAATACCTTGTGGGTGTGATACTCTGACAGTTTTGGATAGAAGTCCAAAACACTGCAAATTCAAGAGAAGGCTGCAAGAATTTTGAAGCATTGATACGCTTCCCACACCCAGTTTTGAGAGACAGACTAAGACTATATGCAGAGGGACACAATGAGAATGAGCAATGGGCATTCCTCTTGCTGCCTCTTACAATCCAATCTGCCATGTCTGACCCTCTCTAAAAAGAGTCTTTTTGTTAAATGCAGCAGTGTTGGGATCCAGAGACGACACTGAACACAACACTTTTCATCACAGCTATACAGAGACAAGCCAAGAATAAACCAGTTTTGACAGGGCTTAATAAAAAAAAAAAAAAAAAAAAAAAAAGCGATACTACGAGATGAAAGGAAAACAATAATATGGAAAAAAGATAAAGACAATGTTTAAATGATTAGAAAAGCTTTTACATTTCAAGAGATAAATATTAAGGGATGGGGGAGCTCAACACCAAAGGCCTGCCAGGTTCTTTCATTTCCAATCCAAACCCTTTACTAACAGCTAGAGACTAACAGTTTAAGGCAGTGTTTGTCAGCCTTTTTTTTTTTGGGGGTAACACTTCAGGGTGCACTTGTAGAACAACTAAGACTTTTGTGCATACTTTAACATTTTAATAAAGAAAAATTAGTCATGAAATTTAAATATTAAGTTTTAGTTTAGCATTCTCAAAGATTAGCAGTACAGTTTTTCAGTACCTGTCTATATTTCTGAGATGAGGCACTATGTACACTATTTACATTGCTCAGACTATCATCATCTTTGTAGCCATGTTTATCACAACGTTTCTCAACGACACATGGCACAGTGGATAAAGGTGTTAGATCCAGTGACAGGACCCTGGTTAAGGCGGTGGAGAACTTTGAGAGGTGAATTAATTATAACTGATATCCATTAGACATGGCATGTGGAACTAGAATGGTCAACCTCAGCAAGCGAAATAAAGGGTTCAGTTCGACATGCCAACTACCTGAAGAAGATCGGTGCGTACAACTTCTTCATTGCCATGTTCACAACGTCTCATCCTTCTACAGGTGATTGGAATTTCAAACCACACCCTTTATTTCAACCATCGGGGTAGTGTGTTCTGGTTCCACATGCCATGCCTCAGTTATTAAAGATTAAGGAATTTAGAATCCAGTTTTAAAAAAATCAAATTATAAATACATGGAAGTCATGTGCTTGGTGGTTCTAGTTTTTAAAAAATAAAGATATTTTTAAATATAAAAATAATTCATAAACCCCTCTTCTATTAACTTGGGGTGCACCTGGTTACCTTTCAGGGTGCATTAATGTGCCCAGTAGCACTGGTTGAGAAACTGTGATTTAAGTAGTTACAATGAAAAGTTTTTTTTTATTATTACTTAGTTCAGAGATAGGTAAATATTGGTTGTCCGTACAAGAGACCATGGGCAGAAACTGGTTGTTTGTATTTGGGTCTGTAAGCATTTAGTTGGTAGGTGGTCTCTATGCAGGGGAGGCAATCAGTGTATTCTACGCCCAGCCAACAGGACAAATGCTTTACCTAATATTTGTTTCTGCAAAGATTTACTTTGGTAAAAAAGACCAAAGATTATGTAACGTACACTGCAGTTGCCAAAATTCTAAAGAGTCCATCATAGGGATTCAGAGTTGTTAACACCTCAATATTCAAAGTTGTCTTGCGAGAAATTTAGAATATTTCTTGAAAGATCCCCAACAATCTCATAACTTTGATGGGATGCAAAGTGGTGTAACAAAATTGATGAAAAGATTTTGGATACTGGTGGAGATTATATATGTTTCAAACTATATGACTTTAGGAAAAGGCAAGTGTTCACCTCACCCTGTACACTGTTCCACCATTAGCATACCACAACAGTTGATAATGCAGATTCCTCAATGTAATGTAATACTGGCCACATGTTATCTGAATAGAAGATTAAAATCACAGTATAATCTTTCATATCCAAAAGACAATAAATCCAGCCAAGATAAATATCGCCAAGATTCATATACCAACAAGGACAAAATATTGAGGGTACCTTAAAACTCCAAGCCGTCAAAACATTAAAACTCCAAGCAGTGGTAAAACAATTGTACTCAATAATTAATATTTAATATAGTGTTAAGTATTATTACAATTAGTACAAAATTGGTTAAAAAAAAAACAAAATGGCAAGTTTGACATTCCAACCACCTGAAGAAGGCTGGAGCGTACAATGGCCGAAACGTTATAATAAATATAGCGACAAAGATGAGGACAATAGTCCAAATAATGTAAATAGAAAAAAGTCTATCTCAAGTTTTATTTTAGGTTACACTATATCTTCTGGCAGATATTTTTAAGATTTTTACCAGACAACATGAACACAATCCATATTAAGCAAACAAACAAAATATTACCTACAACGAAATACCTTTACTTCCTCTGGGGAGACGTTAATAAGTTTTTTTTTTTATTATTAATTTAAAAATAAATTTCATTTTTGTCAAGTGTTAGTTCATGAATTTGGTGACACAGTAATTGCAAGTTCAATCCCTGGGCTGGCCAGTGTGTACTGGACTCAGTGGAATAACGAGGGTGTACAATAACAAAGTACTAAAAATAAGAACTCAATGAGATATCTGTCAACCTGGGCAGGAAAGTGAGAACAATCTATCCCTGCAGATTAAATAAAGGGTTCTTTTCGGAATTCCCTGTAGGTTACCTGGATCAATATACATCCAATGACGTTTGGAGGACACAACAGACAATTGTAACAACCAAAATGAGAAATATAGTCTGCATGTAAATAGCATAAATATTAATTTAAATAATCCTAAAAGAAAATTTATTAAAATTAAGCATTAAATTGACAGCTAATATGGTACATCTAAACTTACCTATGACTTCACTATTGTCATTACTTCCTTCAGGACACAATTTCCCGAGTTGCAATTTTGCAAGGTAAGGTCCCCTTAGGGGACGTTCAATTTGTCCATTTTGTTCACAAAGTTTATCAATGAACGCTGTAGCTTTTGCCAGGCTGTCATCAACTGGTGGGTCACTAAAAACAGAATGAAAGAATGAGAGGAAAGTCATTTGTAACAGATCTATTTTGTTAGATGAAACAAATTCTGTTTCTTTATAAAACAAAATTATATGCAAATAAATTTTTAAATAAAATGCTAAATTTGATTTACTGAAGATGTAATAAAGATCAAAATAAAAATTGTTATGAATGGTAGAAGAGGTTTCATAAATATATTTGTTCTTTCTTCATGAATTTAGTACATTGCAGATTTAGATTAAACTTTCTTACAAAAAAAAAAAAAAAAATCTCTTAATAAATTTAGTCATTAATGAACTAAGTTTCAATTGTAAATTTTTAATATGCAAGGATTTCAGGAATTCATTTTTTTTTTTTTAACAATTATTTATCTGTGTCTATGACAGACAAAACTTTTTTTTTTTCCTGAAAAATCTTCATATTGGTAGAAAGTTTCTGTCTATATTTCTGAGATGAGGTATTATGTACACTATTTACATTATTCGGACTATTTTCCTCATCTTTGTCGCCATATTTATTACAATGTTTCAGCCATTATATGCTCCGGCCTTCTTCAGGATACATGGCACAGTAGATAATGGCGTTAGTTAGATCCAGTGACAGGACCCAAAGAGTGAGAGTTCAGTACCTGGTTAAGGCGATGGAGAACTTGGAGAGGGGAATTAACAGGTGATAACTGATAACTGACATCCATTAAACATGGCACGTGGAACTAGAACAGTCTTCCCCAGTGAGCGAAATAAAGGGTTCAGTTCGATATTCCAACCACCTGAGAGGTGCGTACAACAGCTGAAACATTATAATAAATATGACAACAAAGATGAGGACAATAGTTCAAATAATGTAAATAGTGTGGTAGAAAGTTTATTCAGTTGACTTTTCATATTCAGAATCTGGAAATAAAGATCAATTAATAAGTGACTATCTGGATACACGTGATGGATTCTAAACTTGGATGAGACAACCTCTAAGTTTGTTCCAATTGAAAAATCTGATTAAACATAGAAAGATAAAAGCATGACATTTGTCTAAATTTTTGCAATGAGGGATGATGATGGCACACTGATTTGTTCAGAGTTGTGTTGTCAACAAAAGAAGACAAGGGTTTAAACAAAGCCATTTATAATAAGAAAAACAGACATTTGATGATTAAGTGATGTGTTAGCTAAAACATCAAAGTGTTTATTTTTATGTCTACAATTCAGTTAAGTATTGATTCTGTAAGAACAGTTTTCTTTACAATGGCCTAAGATAATTACTTTTCTAAATTGTGAAACTCTCTTCCAGCTTTTTACTTCCCTATCAATTTTGATATTCACAAATTTAAATGCAATCATTATCTTCTGTCTCCTTAATTCTTTTTCTTTTATTGTTCTCTCTCCTTAATAGCGTTTCTTTTTTCATTCACACTCAGTAACCCCTTGCGTCTTAGTGGCTTTATTGCTTTGCATGGGGTGAAATGATATAAAAAAATATAAAATAACTAACTTTACTTTTAGGAACTGACTATAGAATTTCAAATGTTTCACTATATATATATATATATATATATATATATATATATATATATATATATATATATATAGAGAGAGAGAGAGAGAGGAAATTGTCACTTGATCAATTCTAATAATTTTTATCACTTCACATTCTCTTGTCTCCTTAGTTACTAGAACTGCAGCTAAATTCTAAAGATGAGATTTTTTTAATCTTAGACAAAACACACAAGGATAGTTTTTGAAAGCACATTTTAGGACATTCAATAGTCACTTCAATATAGCTTTTTTTTTTTTATATTATGATCAGATAAGACTATCATTAAAAAGACAGTCACTCCTGCCAGGTATCCAATGGATTTTAAAATCACAAGACAACCATTAACTCACTCGTTTTGTTCTTCGTTGCTTTGACTTTTCGACTTCACCAGTTGAATAACACAAGTTAAATACTGCTTCCAAAAACTCCAATTGTCAGGACTAAAAGAAAAAAAAACAAATAAATAAATAAAAATAGTTTGAGAATATTGACGGGGGGGGGGGGGTTGCATGGGTAGTTATCTTACACATAAATTGGTCCATCCAAATACTCACCAGAGATGTTGGGATCTGACCATTTAATCTTCACACCATTTTAGATACGCACAAAAAAAAAAAATAAATAAATAAATAAAAAAATAAAAAACACACACAGCTTTGTTTTAATTTGTACGGAAGACCATATTTGAAAGGTAAAATATACACATTATCTGACAAGGCCCAGATAATAGACATGGGGGTGAAATAAACAGAGAGTGAGAATATATATCAACCCATCAAGTGGGTGAGCGAGACAGATTAGAATAATTCTAACATTATGTAGGCTTCTTTGTTGAAGGAATCCAGGGCGGAGAGGGTGAAGTGAAATTCTAAGAGAATGAAAAGACTTTAAAAGGAACTGGAAACAAGGGATAAACTTCTATTCCTGTTCAAAAAAGACCAGGGAAGAAGTGTGCATCCCATGAAATCCATTGATGGGATATCTAGAAGTTTAACTAAAATTATTAGCTGACCATAAGAGGGATCATTTATAAAGCTCCATTCTCATGTATCTAAGATAAACTGTGAATATTTTGAGCATAGAATGTTTAACAGAGAGAAGATAATAAAATGGCCACCATCAAGTCCCGATTTGAATCTGATCAAAAATCTCTCGTCATTTGTGAAGATGAAGCTGGCAATCAATATGACAGCAAAACAGACATATGGGGAGCAATTAAGACCATCATGTTAGTAAATGAACCTCTTGATGTAAACAATTTAACAAAATCAATAGTCTCTGTTTCCTTGTCAAAAAGAAGCTCATATCTTTGATTAAATTTGTGTACTTTAGTCATGTGTTACATATTATATTTAATGCACTATTAGTTATTGTTTTTTAAACGTACATTTTATCACAAACTTTGGTGAAGCATGTGTAAATTTTAATTCTGAAAATGCATCACAGAAAAAAAAAAAACTTTCAGAACAACTGTTGTAAAGGTAGGAAATTAGGTAAAGTATTGTTTACTGGCACATCAAACTTATGTGGGTCATTTCATGTCAAATTAGGTAGATTTTCCACATCAAGTAATTTTTAATCCTTTTTATTTTATTTTTGTGACTGCTTTTTAAACAGATTTTGTTTTTTTGAATGTGAATAATTTTGTAGAGTTTTTTTTTTTGTTGTTGTAACTAGAAGAATTTAAGAAGACCCATTTCCCTCATAAAGCATAGTAACTTAGATGCAGGTACTTTTTTTTTTTAAATAGTATCTGTGAATTTGGTATATTATAGTACTTAGGGCATGTGTGTATATTGTTGGCTTTCTGTCATTGTGTGTTTTATAGTTACCCAGTGTGCACAAAGTGTATATATTGGGAGGTATATATGGATGAGATGTGTGTCTGAATTGAACCCAGGTCAGCACAGTGTCTTGCCTTTGTTCAGGCAATCATTCTGCAGTCTAATTTCATGAACATCTGTCTATATTTCTGAGATGAGGTATCGTAACTATTTACATTATTCGGACTATTGTTCTCATCTTTGTCATATTCATGTTGTTTCAAAACGTTGTGGAATGCACAATAAAGATAAGACAACAAACAGTACAAAGTAAATAGTGTAAATAATTTCATGAAGTTTATTATTTAGCTAACTGTCCCAATATTGCTTGGCTTTTTTGTTAGGATATATCTAGCAATGTTTTTGAACTGTGTATGGTATTTTAATATTTGTAATTAGTGGCATTATTTGCTAATGTATCTGCTTTTGTTTCCTTTTATAACAACATGGTTTCGGTATCTAAACCAGGATTATTGACTGTGTTTTTTTTTTTTTTTATTATTGTGGTAGGTTTCTATCAATTTATGAATGTATGGGTGATTAGCTTTTTTTTCTTAGAGTGCTATTAGGCACGATAGAGAATCAGTAAAAATTATAAATTGTTGCCAAGTTGAATTTTAGATGAAGCCAAATACCATCTTTATTGCTTGTAATTCAATTGTGTAAATAGATACATTATCAGCTGCTGCTCTTACTAGGTACAAGATGTTTAACCCATCTGTGTATACAGATTTAAAGCCATAGTAACTTTGAATTTTCCAAATTTACTTTGGTACATAATGTTATCAGTTGTGTTTTTTCGTTAGTTTTTTTTTTTTTTTTTGCTGTGTCAATTTTAGATTTTTATTTTGTTGGGAGATCATCCATGATGAGGCGTTGGTTAATGTGAGAGGAACTATGTCCCTGTGTTGAGGCATCTTTGATACGGAGGCCAAAAGAAAGTATAGCTGTTGGTTTGCCAGTGTAGAAGTGCACGTATCATAATTGGTATGTTTTTTAGTATGATGGATTTTTTTTGAGTGTATTGTAATGATAGTTTAACCCATTGAAGATGTAGTGGGAATTCATTGGTTTCTACATATAGACTATGACAATTATTTTAAATATTTATATCTATGAAAATAACGTATAAACAAAAAAAATATCTGTCTATATTTCTGAGATGAGGTATTATGTACATTATTTGTGTTATTTGGACTATTGTCCTCATCTTTGTCGCCATATTTATTATGTTTCGGCCTTCTTCAGGTGGTTGAAATGTCGACCTGAACTCTTTATTTCGCTCACTGGGGTAGACTGTTCTAGTTCCACGTGGCATGTTTAATGGAGGTCAGTTATCAGTTATCTCCTGTTAATTTCCCTCTGCAAGTTCTCCACTGCCTTAACCGGATATTTGCATCCTGTGATCTAACTAACGCCTTTATCCACTGTGCTATGTGTCCTTGAGGACATCTGTGTATGAATTTCTGGGTATTATAAACCTAATGGCTTCAGCCTACATATTTTTTTTGTATGTCAGTTATTAGTTATTTTCCTGTAAATTCCCCTCTCCAATTTCTCCACTGCCTTAACTAAGTATTGAACTCACACTCAAGGACACAGCTAAGGTGAACAAAAACTTGTAAAGCTGAGTTAAAAGAGGAGACAACTGATACTGAGACACCTAGAAGAGGCTTGGCACGTAGAACTAGAACAATCTACCCCAGTGGGTGAAATAATAATAATTCAGTTTGAAATTCAAATCACCTGAAGAAGGCTGGTACAGAAAATGGCCATGAATATTGCAATAAAGGTGAAGACAACAGAGTCCGAATTTCCTCTTGTTTGTGAACTTTGACATATTATTGTTGCTTTGGCCTATTACTGTTAATTTGATTTGCATATATTCTTTCCTTGCTTTATATTATTTTTAGACCCGTTTTCTTTTACTCGTGAACTTTTTCAATTCTGTTTGTTGGACAGTTACTTATTTTACATTTAACTATGGCTGCCTCTCCACATATCCCCAGGATGACCTGTCTACTTATCATTATATTTTTTGTAGACTTCCCCTCCATTGTATATCTACATTCATGAGACCCATACTTTTGACATTTGAAACACCTTAAAGGGTTACAGATATAATGTTGGGCATTTTCTATTACATATTCAATTGTAATCTCTCTTGCGATTGTGGCTGTGTTGAATGTTATTATATACATATGGATTTGTATGGTTTCTCCATCTTTGTTCTTTGTGTTTTGTTTTGTTACATGGCTAACATTTTATATTTTAATTCATTTTTTATTTCTTCAATAGAACAGAGTGACAGTTATCCACTTTTCACTACTCCCTCAGATGAGTTTAATGTCTCATGTGGCTGTTTTTATCTTGATTTTCTAGAAAGTTACCATTTTTACTAGTATATATGTATGTTTTTTTGTTTTTTTTCAGACAATGCCCCAATTACTACCAGTATGATGCTATCTTTTGTTTTTGTCACATTTTCAGGGGTTTAGGTTTGAGGATAAGATTTTTTTTCTATTAAGAATGGAAAGAGATTTTTAATGGTGTATTTCCAATTGATTCAAGAAGTATAAATTTCAGCAGGGAATTTTTTTTTTTTCATTTTCATTGTAAAAATCAGATTTCACATGCATTCTCTTTGGTCGTTATAGGACATAAGTATTATGTTAGATTGCACCATCATCACTTGGAATCCAATAATAGGTTATGTCAATGAGGAAACCCATTCACCTCGACTTTAACAACACACTACATGGATGATATATTCTTGTCTAAAAGTGTCGTAAAGCAGGGGTTGCCGATTTAGGGTTTTAAAATCATCCGGTGTGCCAACAGCATACGAATTTTTATAAAAGTCGAGGTCAATATACCGGTTCTACAATATATTTTATATAGTAATATATAGTATATATAATTTAGTATATATTAAAATTGAAACAGCTAAATATCTTCTTTGTGTTGTAGTAGTTATTGGTTGGGACTTCATAAGGTCATTTGCAGCTGTGTGTCATTGGAAATTGCTTGGCATGCCGCCTTGTGGCACACATGCCGTAGGTTGTCGACCCCAGCCTTAGATTATGATGCTTAACTTTTTTTTTGTTAATTTTTCTTTTTCATGGATGCCATGATCTTTGGAGGCTTGTTTAGAGACCAAGTTAAAGGTCTTTTAAGCTTCCTACACGGGAATTGCAGTAAAATTTTGAATATATAAAAATTGAAAATTGGAGGATGGGGGGGGGGTCAGGATTTTATAAATACCAAAGTTGGGGCCTGGTCCAAAATCGATTGGGAGCCACTGCTCTAGAGAAACCAAGAGATAAACGTCAATTCCTGTTCAAAAGCCAATATGTACAAGTTTGATTAAAATTATTATCCAACCATAAGAGTAATGATTTATAAAACAATACATTCAATGCATTAGTCATTCATTATAATAAATTTGACCATAATTTTGATTTAATGCAAAGTTGATGATGAAAAGAACAAGTCATTTATCAAAAGGCCAAAATATATTTTGAAAGGTTCACGTTAGATTTACGTCCAACATCCTACAGCAGGGATCGGCAATCTTTCACTAACTACGTGCCAACTTAAAAAAAAAAAAAATCATCCAAAGTGCCAAACATTTTTTTATACAAATCAAGGTCAATATATTTTATATAGTAATATATTGTATATATACTTTAGTATATATTAAAATTGAAACAGCTAAATATCTTTTTTGAGTTGTAATAGTTATTGGTTCGGACTTTGTGATGTCATTTGCGGCTGCATGCCATTTGAAATTGCTTGGCATGCTGTAGGTTGCTGACTCCTGTCCCAAAGCACTTGTAAACCATTGGTTTCTTCTAACTATAATTGGTTTGGTTAGGTTTGGTTTGGTTTGTTTTATGGCATATCAACCTCAATGGATTATTTAATGCTGACAACTTTTTTTTTTCTTTTTCTGGTAATATTTTGTTTTGTCAAAAATCTATTTCTGATAATATATTTTTTCCTCAAAAATGTACAGCCAGTAATATTATTTTAAAACATGTATTGCTGGTAATTTTTTTTTTTTTTTTTTTTCAAAAATGTATTGCTGGTAATATTTTTTTTTCCAGAATTATATTGCTGGTAATAGTTTTTTTTTCTTTAAAAATTTATTTTTGGTAATAATTTTATACAAAGTATTTCTGGTATTAAAACCTATTTTTACACTTTTATAATGCTTTTTACCTCAGTTTCAGGGTTAACTATTTGCCGATAGCTGGGACCCTAACAGGTGCTACCACCCCAGGTCAGGGTGGACCTGGGAACACCAGCAATTAAAAGGTGGTTCCATGCCCCTCAAAATCTCCTGATCAGAGGACTTGCTGTTGGAGGTAGTTTATCGTCTTACCCAGGACGGAATATAATTGGAACTTCTTGGGTATTGAATCCATTGCTAGATCAGCTGCTGTGCAAGACAATTGTTCTCTCCTGAATCTACCTAACATATCTATAAATGCGCTATTTGTCAGGGCTTAGAATGTTGCTGCCACATATGGTCTAGTGCTCTGGCTATTTGCCTTAAGCTCCTTGATAAAATCCAAAGAAGAATCAGCAATATTATTGGTCCTGATCTGGCAGCTCAGCTTCAGTCACTTGCCCACTGCCATAAAGTTGCCCCCCTGTGCCTTTTTTTTATAAATACTTTCATGGATAAGCCCTTTGTTAGACTTTTTAAATTTAAGCGCAGTACTCGAATGATGTCAAGATCTCATCAATTTACAGATGAGTTGGCTAAATGTAGCCGTAAATTCTATGCTAATAGTTTTTCTCACACTTCTCACTTGTGGAACTCCCTTCTAGCTACATACTTTCCAGCCAACTTTAATCTTCAAAAATTTAAATACAATGTTAATCACTATCTACTGTCCCCTTGATTAAGGTTTCTGTTTCTTAATTCTTCCACACCCAATAATCCTTTGTGTCTTTGTGGCTTTACTGCCTTGTTGTTGATACCAATTAAAAAAAAAAAAAAAAAAAAAAAAATACAATCATGCTGAAGTTCTGTATTTTCAAACTGAGTGACCACCCGAGCACATATGAATAGCTATTGCGGATTATGATAGTAAATTAATTGATAAAGCTATTAGTGAGTATAGTGTACTTGCAACAGTTATTTATGCATTACAACTCGACACAACAAACCGATTATGCATCCAGCCCAAGTAAGGGCCAAAGTGGAGTGTTGTAGCACACATGACCATACAGACATTTGTGTCACGGGTTACTTGGCCACTGCTCAGACATCATGGGTCGCCACCCTCAGCCAAAAGGTAGCCCCTTTTGGGGCGGAAATGTCTTACCCCTCTGCACTTCAACTGACAGGGCTCAAGAGGAAGTAAGAAGTGTATATTAGAACACATCAGATAGGAATAGGGATATGTCGTAAGAACCAGGATGCAAATTTAACATGGAAGATGCAGAAATCAGTGCTCTTCATATACATTTTTACCTGAAATTACTCTCTTAATTCCAACTTCATTCCTTACATCAAAATTATATGCTGATTCACTGCAAAGAGCAACTAATACAGTAAGGGTGTTGCTTTGTAAGATTTTATATCTTAATATGCTCTTTCCTTTCATTTCCTACATGTTTCACCCATGGATTTCTTGGGGTCTTCTTTACAGTCTATATTGTAAATTCCTACTTTAGGTTTCAGGTTGTCATTTTGTTTGTGATTATATATGTATGTATAAATTACTATCCCAAGACAATATACATTACAATAAAAATTCATAAAAATTTAAAAAGTTAAATTCATAACCTCCTGCTATTTAAAAAATATATAATGCATAAATTTACCCCCTACTAAAATAATTTAAATATTTGTTGCATAAAAAAAAATCCAACAGAATTATTTACTTCCTTTCATTTATTAGACATTAAATTATGTCACTTATCTTCCATAATTTACCAATACTTTTCAGTTAACCTAATGAATATTTCTGAGGGTCTGTTAAATTTTTGAGAACTTAACATCATTTTTACTTTTATTTATAAATACTTGTTGCAAAATAAAATCCTTAAAATTTGCCTTGATAAAGTCCGTTGGAAGATGAAACACATTGGTTAAGTTTTCTTTTTGTCTTTATTCATAGTCCTTTCACAGATATATTATATCTGAAATTGTGTGTACGTGTGAAACTGAGACAAGGGTTACCACCAGATGCAATATACTCCTAACAATTTAGACAATAAATAAGCAACATTACAGTAAAAAATTTAAACTCTAACAGGTTCTGAATGTCCTTAAAATACAAAAAGACAAACTTTTTTTTTTCACTTACTTGTCTTTTAAAAGTTTCTTGTAGGCTGAATTTGCATCTGACCATCGTTCCAACTTGCAGTAAAGTTCTGCCATTTCTTTCTTTCGAAAATCAATTTCACTCGTAAATTTCTCTGAAAAAAGAAAAAAAAATACAAAATGTTCAGCTAAGTGAAACAAATATTAATACAGTTTGCTTCTTATTTACAAATCAATACACAATAATTTTGATGAAAATAATAAAATCTATTCCAAACAGGCACACTGTCACAACTTGATTCTTGTAGTTACATGTAAACATGTACATGCCCAAATAAGTTAATGTCCTGAAATAAAATTCTATTTTTTCGTTATTATATTTTGGGAAGTAGTTTAAGCTGGGAAAATTTCATTACCTCACTACTTCATAGCACGCTTATCTTGGGCAGAAGTGCCAAGGATTAACATTTTGACCCAAAAGTAGATTACATATAGTACACTCTTATCCCAGGCAGAAATGAAAAGCCATATGGAAATAATCCTATCACTTTTGATTCCTAGTCCCTACCCTGAATTGTCAAGACGAGAAAAGAAAAAAATACACCTCATTATTTTTGGAATGGGGTGATAGTTGCAGCATCAACATCATCATTATTATAATAATGGAGAATTAAAACTGAGACTAAAATTGTAGACCTGTGAGGTTTCTCCAAGAAGCTCTTCAGGTGTGAGGGATTGTGTTGTCAGCATGCCTTAAGAGTTTCACTAACAACATCAATGTGTCACATCAACATAATAATCCCAAATAAGTGAGTGTATAAGTAATATGTGTGTGGAATTTGTATATGGAAGCCAACGCCCACCCAAAAGAATTCTATTTGGCAATAAATTTGGTATGTTTTAGGGAATCTGTGTGTGATAAAGGGGTTTTCACTTGGACTTGAAATTGCACAAGTATGGGGTCTAGTCACACTGAGAAAGAAATAACATAAACAAATAGTGCTGTGAGGTAATCAAATGTCTTGGACCACAAATCAACCAAACAAGCTAATAAAACACTCTCACTTTGATGAGAATAATGAAAATAACAATGATAAAGATACTAAGTTGAATAATGTTCATAAAACAACCAACTTGTACCTGTTGTAATTTCTCTCGTACGGTCACCAATGTTCTTAATGGCCATCAAACACAGTATAACACATTCAGGTGTCAGAGATGACAAGACTTACCTCCAAGAGGTCCTTTTAAAAGTTCCAAGGCTTCTTGCCATTTTCCCAACTGTTTTAAAATGATCAGATAAAGTTGCACTTCTGAAAAGAAAGAAGGAAATCATTTTTTTCTTATATAAACACACGCACATGCACACTTTGGTAGTTCGGATAATTGCATATATCCAAGAATATCAAAGTTCAGGCCTAGATAAAATTACTGATTTTCAAGGTAAGCAAATTATCTACACTGAGAAACTTGTCGTAAAAAAAACTTTCAAAAATAACACTTCTCTTCAATTGGCCTTGCGACAAACATAACAGAGTTCAATAAAAAAAAAAAAAAAAAAATAATTCAATTTGTAAATGCTCATGGCGCTCCATACATTTCCTTTTCTTTTATAATCTGTGAACTGCAAGGACTTCTTTGGAAAGATAAACAGAATGGCTTCCTGTTATGTTATCCACATTTTTGAATTCAGTTGTCTTTCTCCTAGACTGGTTTCCCTATCAAGGCTATAGAATTCCATCTACCCTGCTATTTAACACATAGCTGAGGAAAATAGAGAGAGAGATTCCTTTCCCCAAAGACATTTGATTCAAAATTTAATGTTTGACCAGGCCAGAATTTGCACTTAGCTTACCAAGTTCAATTTACACATCCAAATGACCACCATGCCCTGATGTACACAAATAATTAGAGAGAGAGAAATTGGTATCAAAAGAATATGCTAATGGTGAGAGGTATGAAATTTTGTTGAGGACATAATTACTTACCTGCTTCTGCTTCTATCTTGTCCTCTTTGATGTATTTCAAAGTCATACGTTCAGCCAATGGGAGGTACATTCCTTTTGCCAACTTCGGATCTTGGGCAGTATGAGCCTGCAAAAATGAAATGAAAAGTAAAAGAATAATTAAGCCATACATCAGTTTGTTAGCCAGTTGCAGAAGTTAGCCCAGTAAGGAGTATTTTTCAGTGTGTTCATGTCACTACCAAATGTGACATAAGGCCAGTTTAAAGTGGGTTTAATGGCAAGACACTGGAAAAATTCCTCAAGCCTCCTTGGCACTTCTCATTTTGGGGACACCTCAGGTGCCAAGAAATAAACCCAGCCTCTCCTGATGGAGAGGTACCACCTGGGGAGTGGAGGATGGCCTCCAGAGACCTGAGCTAATATAATTTTCAAACTACACCAACTAAAGCGATGGAAGTCTGTCCAGTATGGATTCCAATGTAGTTTGGCTTTTCTTGCTCAAAAGAGAATATGGTAAAGAATTCTTTAAAAGGAAAGATCACCTTTACATTAAAAGTTACAGAACAATCTATGCCGCATGTTAAATGTTTCTGTTAACATGCAAGTTTACTGCTTGCCCTATCAAAACAGACTATACCTTTTCCATACCAATGATATATCTGAAGAAGGCCATAGAACGGATCAGTTGAAACATCATGAAAGCAAAAAGAAAACGAGTTCAATTATTCTTAAGAATTCTTCATGAACATCTAAAAACATTTTCTACAAAAGTTGTCTTCAATTTTTCTATTTTAAAACTGGACACACACACACACACACACACATATCTATCTTCTATCTATATAAATAAACGGCAAATTTAATCTGTCGCTCCATGTGTCTGATCCTGAGATTGAAAATCTGCCTTTGATCTGGTGCTTGAACATCCAGCATTGGGAGTTGTGTCCAGATGAGGAGGTAACAGTTAAAAATTAAAATTTTAAAGTAACTGCAAAAAACAGTAACTTTAAAAGCTTTTAATTTATATTGTGAATTTAAAAAATTTTCTTTTAAAATAAATTTAAAAAATCTCGAAAACTTTGTGAATTATAAAAATTTCTTCTTTATTTCTTCAAAATGCTAAGGAATCAGAGGTAAAGTGAGATGTTTCATGACGTAAGGTTTTGAAGATCCACAGAGTTTGTGATTTGAAGAACTCAATTTTCAGCCTAAACTGGAATTTCAGCCCCAAAATTGGTCTTTTGGTCGGAATTAAACTTCTAGCTCAAATCAGATTTAAAGTGAGGTTTTGAAGTTCCATGGAGTTAAGTAAGGAATTCCAAGTTATTTCTGCATTATTGTTTTCTAAACTGGACCAGAGGTTCCTTTAGTTTTGGCCTGGAGGCTTAATTTGCTCTCCACACAAGTTAAAAAGTTTGCATGGAGTATGGCTTTTAAGCTAATTATATATAAAACATTGCACAATGAGTGCTGGTGGTAATAAAACAATGCTTAATGTAAAATGACAGAACTTTTTTATATATATATATATATATATATATATATATATAAAAAAAAGAGGTTGTAGTGGTTCCAACGAGAGAAAAGTATGTATATTAAAAAAGGAGAAGAGAGAGAGGTGCCGCAAACGTTTTTCGTTGTAATGTGGATTTATTTAGAAAAAAATATTATGCTTTGTTTTCCATAATTTTACTACATGTATTTCTGGTCTCACAACCGCCTTCAGGTAAAAGCTGAGATTTCCACATATTATTGAAAATAATTAATTTTTTCCTTATGTTTTTCAATGTTAAATATTCTCGATATGAGACATTTTCTGTTTTGGTGTTAGTAATCCGAATTTCTTTCTTGAATTGGCAATGAAGAATTCTGCACGAAGGGTCATAAAACAATTAAGGTTGGTCCAAGCGAAATGATGAATTACATATCGGCATTTTACCTTTTAATGTTTTACTGACTCCTATGTGTTCTTGGATCTGTTTCCATTTTCGTATATATATATATATATATATATATATATATATATATATATATATGTATGTGTGTGTTCTTGTTTGATGAATCTGAGTTTCATGCAAGTGTCAGGCACAAATTGAAAACTGTTTTAATATGTCAATATTTATAAGATAACCTACTGTTAAGATAGGCAGTTCATATATGAAACAAAATAAATTGGTAAAAAATGAATTTATTACAAAAAGCGATTAGACTGTAAAATAAAGAAAATTAAAAAACAAAAAAGAATATATATATATATATATATTCACATACTCATATAAAAAGTGAATTATGAAAATATATACACATTTAAAAAGATAATAGTAATACTAATAAAAAAATAAATCAAAACCAAACATATAGAGAATATATATATCTACTTGCAAATTAACGGAAACAACCACTTAGTTTCCTTTCTTTCACTATTCGGTCAGTTTTAGACCCACTAAAGTGACAGGGTGTAATCGAACTCTATTTTTTCCTCAGATTAGTTCAGTTGCAGTTGTGTGCAGTAATATGAATCTATTTTTGTGGTCTATGATGAAATTGTTTGGCCTTGAAAAATATTGTGTCATCCGGGATTGCATGAGATTTTTAACACGCCCAGACACTATTTTCTCAGCTGCCGATTAGTTGCCCTACAACCATTGTCTGTGATGGATGTTACTCCAAGGAAGCATACATAAATTGTAACACCCCCCGAACACACTAGCAAGCCTTACCAGTGAGTAAATCAAAGTACTAGACTGGCCCAGAAACTCTGATTTAAATCCAATCGAGAATCTGTGGTCAATCTGCAAGGAATGATGTCTTGGAATGTATATACAAAGTAGTAACATGTACTCTGGGAAAATTGGAAAAAAAAAAAAAAAAAAAAAAAAGTAAATACTAGCGGAATTATTTGTTTTGTTTCAATTAATTTGCACAAGTGTGTATAAGAGTCATGGTGACACTAAAATTAATCTGGTTCAACAGTTTTCAAAAGATATTTTGGTAACATTTAACCTTTAAATGCTATATCAAAAAGACAGTTATATTCCGTTGACAGTCACTATAATTGCGGAGCCATTAATGCAACCTGAAAGGTAACCAGGTGCAACCCCAGGTTAACAGAAAAGTAATTTATGAATTTTTTTTATTTTTAAAAAAGCTAGAGGCACCAAGCACATGTTATCCATGCCTAAGTCTTTGCCATTTGATATTTTAAACATGATTGTAAATTCCTTAATCTTTACGCAAGAATGGATAATCCTTTCACTTCCACAAGGGAATTAAATGCTCTCTAAAAACAAAAAATATTGCAGATCTTGCATAAATCTCAATAACTGCACAGCTAATTTGGGAATGCTAAACTAAAATTTCATATTTTCAAATTTCATGACTAATTTTTCACTATTAAAATTTAAACTGTACCCTGAAGTAAGAAAAAAAAAAAAAATGGGTTGAGGAACATTGCTGTGTACATTTTGAACCCCCTCAGCCATTTGACAATCAACCACAAATCTGTAACAGCATCTTTTACTGGACATTTACATTTCTTTGGGGGCATACAAGCAATTCATATCAAGTAAAACAGGAGTATCTCCAGTAGCATTTGAAAAATGATAGATGAACCTTACCTGCATAACAAGACTCATAACTGCCCAGAAATAATATGGATTCTTGTTAGGTTTTAACTTGTGCAGTAACATGGCTGTCTGTTGTTGTCGCTTATAGTCGCCAAGTCGTACATAGGACATAAATAAGGCAGACAAGACCTCTTCACTGTCCGTACGGGCTTTGTGCGCATTCTCATACATGTCTGCAATCAACTCAACTGAAAGGCAGAAATATGAATCATTATAAAAATTTAACAACATTTAGTACCATTTCCTAGAAGAAGACAATCACAATAATGGAACATTCAAAATGCAGCAGCAAGTAAATAACAAATGCAATCATTTAAACAACACTGGCATACCAAACAATTCATTCAATGACTGAAAATAGTGAAGGGAATAGACATTTCTAATTTGAATAAAGTTTGTCATAATTGTGAGCTTAAAGGTAGAGATGATCTTGTGGAGGCCATCAAATGAGATCAATCAGCAAGGGCTGACTACCACCCCACCTCCAGATACAATGGATACAACTTTATGACGGCATCACACACACTTCCATTGGGTAAACGAGAGGCTAGGAAATGTAACTTATTAACCAGGAAGTCTGACATTAACGATAGGTAATGCCAACAAGATACCCTAATGCCTGTGTCAAAAAAGACAAAAGAAACCAAGAATTTGGAAAATCCAGTGGGGAGGGGTGCTACAAAAAAAAAAATCAATTTTCATTCTGTGGCGACACCAAATAATTCTCAATAAAATATATATATATATATATATATATATATATATATATATATATATATATACATACATACATACACACAAGGTGCACTCCAGATTTTTTTAGGACAGGCAGTTGTAATGGTGCAAGTTTATTATAATTTTAATATAGTATTACGATACAACTAACAAGTTGACCTAACAACTGTTGTTATTCCAGATTGAAGGAGATGGCTTTAACATCTCTTTGGACACACTCTACAACTAAACACGGCTCATCACTTCTAACTTGGTTGCAAAATGCAATTGGGACATCAAGACAATTTGGAAGCTCATTATGCAATAAAGTTTTGTATTAAACTGGGCAAAAATGTTACAGAAACTAATGAAATGCTAGACTGCTTATGGATTAACTTGTACAACCTGAGCATCTGTTTTTCATTAGCACAAGAAATTCAAGGATGGTAGAGATGTGGGGAGAAATGTGGAAGGGAAAGGGATGTCAGAACATCAAAGATGGTTGAGAAAATTTGCAATTATCATGAAGAAGATTCATGTTTCTATAAAGACAATATGCATACATTTTGAAGTTGGCCTGCCAACTGTACAAATAATTATTCTTTAAAATATGAATATACACAAAATTTGTGCAAAGTCTGTTCCAAGAGTGCTCAGTGACAAACATCAAAACTATTATACCCCAGATCTTTCACCCTGCAACTTTTGGCTGTTCCCAAAGCCAAAGGAAAATCTCAATCAAATATTCTGAAACATTGAGAAGACAATGAGAATATATATATATATATATATATATTATATATATATATATATATATATATATATATATATTCCTTCCTGCATTCACAATATAAAAAATTACTAATCGACAACACAACTATCCTACACCATGAAAACAACAAATCTAGATTACAAATACTAGAAGCAATTTATATTAAAAAAATTAAAGCCGGCACTGAACAGAATCAACTATGAATACTGCATTAATGTTCTGAAATGCCTGGAAAGGACCATTTTATTCAGGCTTTAATGCACACGTGTCTATGACATTATAACATAGAAGACAAAATAATTCCATAATGGATAATTTTTTCACGTTCTAATGAACACTCAGCACATTGTCAACCGTTTTGCATTTAAAAGCATAATGAAAAAATTACATTAATGGATAACAATGCACAGCTTTGTATAAATACTTATATTAAAGAACAATATATAGTTTTGTCTTACTTGCACCTCTGAAGATGATTTTGGAAAAAGATTGAAAGTACTTGAGAAATGAAAATAAAAGAAATTTAAACAGCTATAACACATTTCTCTCATCCTCTAACATCAAGACACGGAAGGTTATTCGTGAGTATGAACGGATTTTATTAAAAATTAGCAGACATAATATCTGTAATTTATTCAATCAGTCATACCTAAAAGAGAATTTGCTGCCTAAATACACAAATATATATGTGTGTGTAAAAATTTCACAGAGTATATCCTTAAAAAGACAATATGAATAATAAAGACAAAAGGAAAACTTATCTTAGCAGATGTGTTTCATCCTGTGAGGGACTATATTAAGACAAAGGCAAGGATTTTATTTTGTAACAAGCATTTATATACAAGAGCAAAAATATTGGTTTTTCAAAATTCTTGAGCCAGAACACTCTAAATATTCATCAGGTTAACTAAAAACACCAGGCAAGCTATGGATGATACAAACTGATACAATTCAATGTCTAATAAACAAGAGTGAGTATGTGATGATTGGAAAATTCCAAATCATTACTTACTCAATTTCATTTATTAGGCATTGAATTGTATCACTTCGTATCACCCATAGCTTGCCTGACTTATTTTTTTTTCTTAAGGTCTCTTGGCATGTAGATTGTTGGTCATGCTAAGACTTTGGATTTTTGTGTATTATTACAGACACAACCAAGACAACAACAAAAGTAAATAACTTACACTGATGTGTTTCTCGGTAACAGATGAGCATCCCTTGCAATGTGGCTTCATCAGTTGGCTGCAATGCATGAACTTCCTGTAGAATTGCACTACTCTCATCATGACGGCCAAGATGAAGAAGGGCCAGAGCTTTCAAGACCTGAAAATAAGATATAGTTCAGAGCCATCAAACATTATTCAGGCCCTTTTTGGGGGGAAAAAGAAACTTCAAGGCATGGCCAGTGCATTATTCCTTCAATAACAGTAAATGAAGATGTGTTTTAAGAATTGAAAATGAGAAAGCTTAATAGCATTTTTGAGATAACATTAGACTACTGTGATTATGAGAGCTCATTGGTTACTGTGTGAGAATAAATCTTCCTTCTCTCTCCATATGTGGTCAGCCACGCCTGATTTTTCCACTTCCCCTCATGTTACAGCTTACCTTAAAGGGGCGGCCTGTCTCCCATTTATATTTTTTTCCGCAGGGATAGCGTACACACAGTCTTTAGTCATGTTCTCCTCTATGGGGGAGATCTTACTCTGGATAAAGGCGTTAGATAGATCCCGTGACAGGACCCAAAAAGTGTGAGTTCAATACCCAGTTAAGGCAGTGGAGAACTTTCAGAGGGAAATTAACAGGAGATAATTGACATCCATTAAACATGGCACGTGGAACTAGAACAGTCTACCCCAGTGAGCAAAATAAAGGGTTTAGTTTGACATTCCAACCACCTGAAGAAGGCCGGAGCGTACAACAGCCAAAACATTGTAATAAATATGGCGACAAAGATGAGGACAATAGTTCAAATAATGTAAATAGTGTACATAATACCTCATCTCAGAAATATAAACAGATACTGAAGTATTTCTGGTATTAAAACTTATTTTTACACTTTCATAGTGTTTTGACCCCAGTTACAATTCCATTGAATAAGCAAAAAATTTTGATGAAATGAGGATTGTTTTGGTATCAGTCTTCACAGGCCAACAGGTGATTTGAAGAAACCAAGGGATTTGTTACAATAGAGGAACACTGGTTGTGACAGGTGGTGAGTAAGGGGTCTAGCAGATATGCATGCTGACACAATACAAGAAATAAAAGTAGATGCATCCATGGTCTGGGTTAGCTCATGCGCAATGGAGAAGTCATAGCAATATCTAATACTTGGGGAAAAAACAAAGTGAGGCATAGTCTAAAATGTTATTTTCACATTTTAATTTAATTTTATTTCTGTTATGATTGAAAAAAAAAAAAAAAAGAAAAAAACTGCAGAGACCTACTCCCTCAAAACATATTGGTGATGGAAACTCAAATCAGACAAGCATTTTGATCTATGAATCAAATTCAACTACCAATTTAAAATTTAACAAAACATCTAAAGAGAACAGATAGAAATGTGTCGTCTTTAAAGCACATTTAGAAAATCAGTAGGCAATGACCAATATTCTGGTATTCATAACCATTTTAAATTTTGGTACTGGCACTCTTGACTCCAGAAACATGAAGATTTTTAACTTCATGGCCACTAACAATTTTTGATGTAGTGCCTACATTCTTGATATATCGTCTCTTATTTCATTCATCACATTTCACAGCTGTCCTGGGTATGATGATAAAATACATCCTGCAGCAAATCCTCTTATTGGCAGGTTTTGAGGTGTGGGGAAATACTTCTTAATTGCTGTTGTTCCCAGGTCCACCCTGACCCAAGGTGGTAGCATCTGTTAGTGTTCCAGCTATGGGCAAATGGTTAACCCCCTAACTGGGGTTGAAACATTATGAAATTATAAAAATAGATTTTTATAGCAACAATACCAGCAATACATTTTTGGAAAAACAAAAATATTACAATCAATACATTTAACTCAATGAAAGCCCTCTTTACAAAAATCTGTCAATGAAACCTGATCTACAAACTGATTTCTTACAAAGAATACATATTCTATTTACACAAACCTATCTTAAAAGTCTTGTCAGCATTAAATAACCCATTGAGATGTTGATATGCCATAATACAAAATAAACCAAACTTAAAGCATGCATTTGCTATGCAGCTAATAAAAAGCTGACTTGATTGTATACACTAAAAAAAAAACAAATAGGAGAAATGAGTTTTTATGTAAATCTATGAAGTGACAATATTAGTTTAAAAAAGAGGAGAGAGAAAAAAAGAAAAAGACAGATTTGAGGGAGGGCACATACCTTGGCACAAAGATTGTCTTTCTGCTTCTTAAGAAGTTTGTCGGCTTCTTGGACAGCTTTCTTGTTGTTACCAAGGTCCAGACACTCTGTGGAGAGAGAGAAAAAGATTTTTTTTTTTCTTCAAAGTTTACATATAATGAAGAGAAATTATTTTTCTTGAATATTAATATACAAACACTCAAACGAGGGCTGAACCTAACTAAGCTCTTTCACCACAGCTCTTAATTTTATCACTATATATTGCAGGGAAAATTTTTTTTGGGGGGGGGGGTATTGGTCTTCCTTCACCTGATACATCCACTTAGAAGAAAACTACTTCTCAGGGTGTGAAGTTTATCATCTACTGAAAGAGAGTTTCAAATGTGCATTTTATCAAGCACTTAGATGAAGGTCTCTAAAAGCACTAATACATAAAAAATTAAAAATGGATACCCTGCTTAAAAAAAAAAAAAAAAAAAAAATGTTGCATATATTTTTTTTCATAACAGCTTAATAGAAAGACAAAAAGATTACAAACAACCACGTCCGAAAAGTTGAAAAATTATAAGAATGTATCCATTATTTTTATTTCTAAGAAAATGTAACAATTTTAAATAGGGCCTAATCCCTAGAATTAGTAAATAAATATATATTTTAAAAAAAAAAAAAAAAAAAAAAAAGAAAAAGAATTGATTACATTTTGAAAATTACCTAACTTCAATTTTTTATGAAGTTATACACCAAAGTATGAAAAAGTAAATAAATTTTCAATTCAATTCCAAAATCCTGAGAATTAACCAAAAATGTAAATGAAATGTCCATTAAAAGACAAACTGGACACTTTTTAAAATTTTATTTTAAATGCAAAATTTAAAAAAGCTAAAAATATATCCAGCTCATCTTTTTATATTTTATAATATGGATTCTGTTTAATATTTTGCAAAAATGCCTAAAAAGAAACAAAAATGAATCAAGTGGAACAGCCTATACATTGAATAAATACTTTATAGTTTTAAAATGCATCATTAAAGAAAATTTAAGAAAACAATTTAAATTGTAATAAGGAATGTAACAATGAAAGAAGTGTGATTTAAAATTGGATTCAGCTGGTAGTGTTCATTCACTTGATCAGCAATAGAAATTTTGATGCAATCAGACCCTATAATGGTTTTGTAGAAAATGAATGCAGTGAAAGACAACTTCAAACCCAACTTATACCCACCAACCTGTCAAGCATACTTTTTTTCTTTATGATGGGACTATTTTGGTATGGGTAGGGAGGGGACAACTCTGAGCATAACAAGTTTGACAAAAACCACCATGAAAGTGGTAGCTTTGAAAATTTGGAAAAAGAAGTATCCGTTATATGTGATTAAAGAGATGTGGAATAAAAACTAATCATCCCACATGAGAAAGAATTGTATCTTTAGAAAAAGAAAAGATTAAATTTTGTTTACGTACTAATTTTATCAAAATAGCCTTGAAAATAAATGAGATATCAGCAGTTGAATTGGAAGGAAATATCCCCCTGTCATATTTTCACATTGTAAACTAGGGCATTTTGGGATAGATAGTAAGATGAGCAATGATACATTTTCCAAAAAAAATGAAGTCAAAAAATATCAACATGCTTTAATTTTGTGTGGGATTTGATGATACCATATTTAAACCTCCCTTTTTAAGTATAATCACTGGCTGATTAATTTTTAATCTTTCTTAAATATTTAAACCAAAATTCATTACTGATGCCAGAATGTAGAATAAAAAAATTTAAGTACTTTTTGAAAGTAGTTATTTTCAAAATCATGTCTGTCTGAATGTAATTTTTAAGAGACTACTTTTTTTTTTTTTTTTATTGTTGGTTGATATGTCAAGAAAAACTTAAAATTTCAAAGATGCAGATATAAGTTCAAATAACTAGCACAATGAATTGGTAATACTTTTTACTGATTATAAACAGAATCATTATTTCAAAGGAATTTCAGTGAAACCCAACTGAATAAACATGTAATAAGATCCTGGTAATCTTCAAGATCCATTTAAGACTGGAATATTTGCTGACCAAAACAATGATCAGAACAAAAGTCTTTAGAAAGAAAAAGAAAATTTTGTTTACATACTAATTTTATCAAAATAACCTAAAAACTGAAAAAGATATCAGCAGTTGAAATTTAAGGAAATTTCACTATTTTGACATTTTCACAGCACAAACCAGGACATTTTGGGATAGCCTATAAAACAGCTGTTTGAAGTTTTCTATAACCCCACTAAACTTCAATTAAGTCAATTCAGGTTTGCTATGGTAAAAATTTTCTATCCCAAGTAAAAAAAAAAAAAAAAAAAAAAAAAAATGGATTTTCATATTTTTATAGGGGTAAGATACTTTAAAATGATTGTTTTGTCATCATCTGAACAAAATATCAAAGAAACTTTTGATCTGAACTCCATGAAACTAGGTATTTTCTGAAAGCTAACAATATGTTCTTTCTTTTAAAAGTAAAATTATCTGGTGTAAATGACACAAATTTTTTTCAGGGAGTAAAATGTGAAAAAATAGTGAAAATTTTGCATTTTTTTCTAGTTCTAAACAAAACATTTCCCCAATAATCGGAAATTAACCATTTATTTTGGAAAATCAGAAAGCCTAAATCATAAACTATTTCGGGCATAAAATTGAGAGTTTGAAGGAAAACAACGTTTCTAGGGGGTAAAAATGCAACAAAGTCTGTTGGTAATTTTCAATTATATGGCCGCAAGGGGTTAAAAAAAACTGACACCTGGCCACAGAAATCTTTAGTAAAAGGCAAAAGATTTATCTGCAATTCCTGACCACCAGAAACCAACAGTTGTTTAAAAAAAAAAAAAAAAAAAAAAAAATAGCAGCAATAAGGAAAATTAAGCCAAATTGACTTTGATATATCTGGGTCAAAGGCCAGCCAGACAGCAGATAAACATTAGAACAAGCTGTCATCAGCTTGTAATAAATCCCACCACTTTAAAGATAAGAGGAAATAGTGAAAAAAAAAAAGAGGGAAAATTGGTAAAAAGGGTTTGATATGGGTTATTTTTTTTTTTTAAAACTTTGTTTGAACAATGGCTTGATGTGTTTTGTTTTTTTTAACACCTCGTGACCCGGGTGATGACAACAACACTTAGCAGCGGACATTGTTTTTTTTCACTGCTTGTCTTTCATATTTCCCATCGTCGGGTCATATAGCAGTTCCTTTTATTCAATGAAGTTCACATCAACTAAAAGAGAAAGGATTGAAGTTTGAAAAAAAATGTCTTGAAGTGAAAGCAAATTTTTTCATAAAAAACACCAATCAACTAAGTGACAAATTTTATATTTGGGTGTGTGTGTGTGTGTGTGTGTGTGTGTGTGTGTGTATATATATATATATATATATATATATACACACAATTTTTCAAATGATCTGATAATTTCTTCTCGGATAATAAATTATATAAAAACTGTTCAATTGTTCTTTTTATCTGAGCGCTTTTGGATATACATTTAGTCATTTTCAAGGTTGAAATATATTAACTGTTCCACGTGCCATGTTTTAATGGATGTCAGTTATTTTCCTGTTAATTCTTCTCTCCAACTTCTACACTGCCTTAACCAGGTATTGAACTCACACTCAAGGACACATGGTACAGTGGATAAAGGCAATGGTGAGATCCAGTGACAGGACCCAAAGAGTGTGAGTTCAGTACCTGGTTAAGGCGGTGGAGAACTTTCAGAGGGAAAATTAACAGAAGATAACTGACATCCATTAGACATGGCATGTGGAATTAGAACAGTCTACCCCAGTGAGCGAAATAAAGTGTTCAGTTCGACATTCCAACCACCTGAAGAAGGCCAGAGTGTACAACGGCCGAAATGTTGTAATAAATATGGCGACAAAGATGAGGACAATAGTTCGAATAATGTAAATAGTGTACATAATATCTCGTCTCAGAAATATAGACAGACAAGATTCTGATCTCTCAAAAACTGTGAATCTTTCTTCCTTCCTGCTTTTATTATCATTTTGGTAAAAACATTTCTTGAATTCTGTCTGCTGATTTACTACCCACATTTTAAAATTATTCTTAACTTCAGCCTGTTAGACTGAACTTGACTGAAATTATTTTTATCATTTTTTTTTTTTTTTAATCTGTCTTTAATTGATCCTCCTGTTGGCACCAGGTAAGTACTCTTATCCCAACTGAGTAGAATGAGCCAAAATCTTGTTGGTTGCTGTTCCCATGGCCCTTACTAGTCTATCAGTTGTAGTTTGGAAGAGCTTAATCACTAACCTCTTACAGCCATAGTTTTTAGGGTAAAATCCTGTAAACCCCATCAGCACCAGCAGCCGTACTTGACATGTAAACATATCCACTCCCTTAGCCATCTTTATATGACAGACATATTTGTCTGTAGCTGGTTAGGTTTGCCAAACTAGACTGGATTACTATTACAGGTATATCTTTTCAGTTACACCTTTTTTTCTTCTCTAGTTTCCACCTGGTTAATGATGAGAGAGTTGATGCATATTTAACAATGAACGATCAGCTGATACCAATGAACATCATTGGTACTTTCTTACAATAATTCCTTTTACAATGCCATCAATAAATATATCATAAGTAAATAATATTATCACAAAGTAAGGCCTGGTAGAAGTGACTATCAGAGGTAAAACTATAGCATATAGTAAGTGAGCATTGGGGATAAAATTAGCCTGGTGGGGGGAGAGGCTAACTACAAATAAGATGCAGGGTGATTACTAGAGTCAGGCTGGTAGGGGGAAACAGTGCATCTTACATACTACCAATTATCCTAAGTCATTTATATTCAAACATTTCTTAGCATTTAAAATAGCACCACAGTTATATTTTTATATTGTTTGGGAGCCAATATCTTTTTCTCTCTCCTTCATGTTTTGATATCATTTCTTGTTTTACCTGACATGTTCTTAAATATCCAACTGGAGTTGATATCTGCCACCAATATATAAACCTAAAAGATGCATACCTTCAAACAGCACGCTTTAAAAACAAAAATCCTATTATAATTGTGTATGTCTCCTCCTTCATTAGTTTGCACGACCGTTATGCCCTG